CTATGCTGCCCAGGTTCAAAATACCTATTTAAACTGAACAAGTTGAGCAAAAGAGACTCTAGGTACCAGTTATCTGTTTTCCTATTATAAAAGTGACATTAAAAAGAACATAGTGTTTTTTAAAGCCTTCAAGCTACAATATCTTGATAGGATTTTGGTTGTTTTTGTCCTGATACTAATTTCTAGTAATGAGAATGGTTAAAGGAAATGAGAAAGCTAACCATAGCCAAAATAAATAAATAAATAAACAACACTACCATGTCTCCAAATCTCCAGAAGGTGGAGGCAGTGAGCCACTGAGATTTCAGACCAACGGGTTTTTCTGCCTTCAAAGGCCAGTAACCAAGCTGAATCGTGCGGAGAAGTTGGCCTATCTAGCCATTTTATCCTCTTTCAATTATTTAATGTGTAGCACTCCCAGGCAGAAATAGTCCTTCCTAAAGCAGTGGAAGGGTGCTTCTTCCCTGGTTTTGATCTCACTGGTCTACAATGCTTGGATAGGGCCACTCAATCCATGTAAATATAAAAATATCTGCCAGGCACGGTAGCTTACACCTGTAATCCCAGCACTTGGGGAGGCTGAGGCCAGCGGATCACGACGTCAGGAGTTTTAGACCAGCCTGGCCAACATCGTGAAACCCCGTCTCTACTAAAAATACAAAAATTAGCCGGGTGTGGTGGTGCACGCCTGTAGTCCCAGCTACTCAGGAGGCTGAGGCAGAAGAATCACTTGAACCTGGGAGGCGGAGGTTGCAGTCAGCCAAGATCATGCCACTGCACTCCAACCTGGGCGACAAAGTGAGACTCCATCTCCAAAATAAATAAATAAATAGATAGATAAATAAAAATAACTGGAAGGGCTCTTCACTTTGGACGAATGGCAACAGGATTCATTTGAAACAATTAACCTCACACCATTCAATGAACGAGTAAACATGTAAATGCACTGCTATACAATTGCCTCAGTCTGCTCAGGCTGCCATTACAGAATGCTATGGACTGGGTGGTTTAAATAATAGAAATTTATTTTCTCACAGTTCTGGAGGCTGGGAAGGCCAAGATCAAGGTGCCAACTGATTCAGTTCCTGATGAGGGCTCTCTTCCGGACTTGCAGATTGCCCCCTTCTCACTGTGTGCTCACATGTCAGAGAGTGAAAGAGAGCAAGCTCTCCGTGTTGTTTCTTATAAGGATACCAATCCCATCATTAGTGTCACACCCTCATGACCCCACCTAACCCTAATTACCTCTCAAAGGCCCCATCTCAAACTACCCTCACATCAGGGTTTGGGGTTTCAACTTATGAATTTGGAGAGGGGAGCATAAGTGTTCAGTCTGTAAAACAACATCTAACTGCAAAGATGTATAGTGGGTTGCTCAGGAAGGAGCTGGCAAAGCTCTTAGCTGTAATCAAGAGAATTGATGTATTTCTGGTCCTGTGGGGATTCTTTTCTTCCCTGATTCTCTGCTGTGCATCTGAGCCTTTTTCTGTCTTCTGCCATCTGTCCTGAACCTGGAGAATTCCTTTATCAAGTTTCTTATCCCTTATAACAAAAAGTTTTTAATCTTCTGTCTACCTACTCTCAGATATCACTTTAAAGTAGAATTTTAATCACACTGTGGCTAAGTGGGTTTACTTATTCCAGAAACTTTGCAAAATCCAAACCACCTACTTTTCTTGTTTTTCTTGGTCAATAACTTTTATAGCTTTTGTTATGGCTCGTTTTTCACTGGATATCGAAGTCCACATAATCGTAATCCTTGGTCATGACTCTTTTTTTTTTTTTTTTTTTTTCCAGATGGAGTCTCACTGTATGGCCTAGGCTGGAGTGCAGTGACATGATCTCAGCTTCACTGCAACCTCTGCCTCCTAGCTTCAAGTGATTTTCCTGCCTCAGCCTCCCAAGTAGCTAGGATTACAGTTGTGTGCCACCACCCTCAGCTAATTTTTGTATTTTTAGTAGAGATGGGGGTTTCACCATGTTGGCCAGGCTGGTCTCGAACTCCTGGCCTCAGTTGATCTGCTTGCCTCGGCCTCCCAAAGTGCTGGAATTGCAGGTGTGAGCCACTGCACCCGGCCAACTCACTTTTATCATTGGCTTATGAATGCCCATTTCTTCCCCTCTCTCTCTCCTCATCTTTGTATTATTATTATATAATAAGCAACCATGAATCCATCTCTCATTATAAACACTAAGAGTTTGACAGTATCTTACATTTACTCATGTTCTTTCTTCTTCTCTTGCCTTCCTGAGGTACCAGAATCCAAAGACCAGCATCCATCAATCTGTTGCTTTCTTTCTATGCAGTTTCTTCACTCAACTATATGAATTTCTAAAAAATGTACTTTTCCATTTTATGAAAAGGATAGCAGGTTTTATGTAAGTATGTTGAGACTTTTTAAAGTTCATATTGATAAGATTCATCCATATTGTTGCATGTTGCTATATTTCATTCATTTTGGTTGCTTTTTTCAAGGCTGCAGTGAGCTGTGATAGTGCACACCACTTCAGCCTGGGTGACAGAGTGAGACCCTGTCTCTAAAAAATAAATTTAAAAAATTCCCTGTATATGTTTTATATGTTTTGCTAGAATTTTTTTCTAGGCTCCTGACAGTCTCTGAAGTATTACAAATGATGTCTTCTTTCTAATTTCAATCTTTACGTGTTTGTTGCTGGTGTTCGGAAATGCAACTGTCTTGCTAATTTGCTAACCTTTCCTATTTCGAATACATCACCTGTAAATTATTTTTTTTTTTGGTAGGGGAGGGGAGTAGGGGTAGGATGGGGTCTTGCTCTGTTTCCAAGACGGGAGTGCAGTGGCACCATTATAGCTCATTGTAGCCTCAAACTCCTGGGCTCAAGAGATCCTCCTACCTCAACCTCCCCAGTAGTTGGGACTATAGGCACGAGCCATTGCATTTGGTTAATTTTTAAATATTTTGTAGAGATGAGGTCTTGCTATGTTCCCCAGGTTTGTCTCAAACTCCAGGACTCAAGTGATCCTCCTTGATCTGCTTGGATCCACCTCCAGGTCTCAAGTGATACTCTCAAAGTATTAGGATTACAGGAGTGAGCCACCATACCTGGCCTATAAATTATTTTATTTGTTCTGTGTAAATAATAATGCCATCTATAAATAAAAATGGTTTATCTTTATGATTCTAATTTTTTATTGCTATTGTGGAGCGGTAAGAGTGAACATCTTGTTTCATTCTTGCTTTAAAGAAAATATTTCTGGTGTTTTCCCATACAGAATGATGTTTGCTTAAAGGCTTTTTATAGACATTTTTATGAGGTTAAGGAAACTGGCTATATTTTTGATTTAGTAAAAGTTTGTATTATGAATTTATGTTGCATTTTATCAGCATAAACCTTGAGATCATCACAAATCTTTTTTCTTAATCTGCTATTATGGTGAATTATATCCATAGTTTTTCTGATATTAAGCTAACATATAGATGCCTGAGATAAACCCAACTGGGCAAGGGTATTACCTTCCCTGTGTGTTGTTGAATTTAATTTGCTTTTTTTTTTTTTTTTTTTTTTTTAAGGATTCTTGAATCTATATTTATGTGTAAAATGAGCCTATAGCTTACTACTCTGATAATGTCTTTTCCTGGTTTGGTAACAAAGTCATGCTAATCTTAAAAAAGGGTTGGGATGTGTTCCCCTTTATAGGACAACAATAAATATGTATTTGTATATTACATATATGTTACCTCCAGTGTTCATGTTGACAATATTGTTATCAATTTGATTCTTGTCCCACTGTATGTGATATGCTCTTCTAGAGAGTAAAGGAGGAAGAGCCCCTTCTCTAAGTGCCATCTGTCAGTCGTGGGGTTTTGGCCTGAAGTGTGGGGAGGTGACTATTCCAGTCATTCTCCACCTGTTGTCCTCAGCTACCCCCCTACTTCAGAGTTTGTGCAGTCGACTGATTTACTCCTGAGGACACCTGCACCAGCAGTCGGAGTCACTGCAGGTGACGACTCTTTTTCTTGGGCAGTGGCCCAAGAAAAAGGAGGAGGAAAAGTGGCTGTTCTCTTGGGTTCTTCTCTCTTTCCCTTCCCTATTTTTTCTCCGTGTATTTATTTATCTTCTCCTCTCTTTCTTTCTCTCTTTCCCTGAAAAGTAAATGCCTTTTGGATGGTAACAATCTTTTCCCGACTGTGGTCTATCAGGAAGCATGCCACGTCTTCGAATCCCTTCAGGTTCTCTAAATTTAGCAATGCAAGGAGAATCCCCACCCAAGAGCAAGGGCAGGAGGCAAGTTTCCTGACAGGCAGTCAGCTTTGTTTCACCATCTCCTCCTGGGTATCTCTGTTGAATCACCAATGCCACTTCCCTGTAGACTTTAGGGAGGCTTGACTCACCTACAGATACTGCACAAGTCCTTTAAACTTCTATTGTTGTTATTAATTCCTTTTGTGTTTAGTCACTTTATTGGCTACTCCTACAATTTATAATAATAGTAATGGTAATAGTGGTTGTGGAGGTAATAGTACTAGTTATAGTGGTAGTATTATCCCTATATTATTATTATTATTATTTTGAGACAGGGTCTCACTCTGTTGCCCAGGCTGGAGTACAGTGGTGCAATCTCAGCTCACTGCAACCTCCGCCTCCTGGGTTCAAGCGATTTTCATGCCTCAGCCTCCCGAGTAGCTGGGATTACAGGTACCCGCCACCATGCCTGGCTAATTTCTGTATTTTTAGTAGAGACAGGGTTTCACCACGTTGGCCAGGCTGGTCTCAAATGCCCACCTCAGGCTCCCAAAGTGCTGGGATTACAGGTGTGAGCCACTGGGCCGGGCCAGTATTACCACCTATATTATATTGAGGGGTTACTCTGTGCCAGACACTATATTAAGTGCTTTACATGGATTGTTTAATTCTTATGTATGTATGAATTTAGAACTTTTTGATTTTAGTTAGGTAATATATTGCATATACTATATAGTATGGAACTCAATCAGCAGGGTCTAGGTAACAACTTGTAATCAAGTAAATGTGTATATTTTCAGTGAAATGTGTGACTACACTAAATTACATAGAGACTACAAGTAGCCTCAAATCATTTCAGATAAGGTCTGTGACCAAATGAATCTAGGTACGGTTGGATTTTGGCACAAAAAGCCTTAGAAAGAAACCTGCAGTTTCTAGAGAATTTTCTGTTTTGGATCCACAAGTAAGGAACTGTAGACCTACAGCATAATTATTTCACAGATGATACAATTAAGACGACAAAAGAGCAGTAAAGATCAGGAAGTAGCAGTAATCAATCAAGGTTTTTCCTTTCCATGTGTGTAACCAGTTGTTCAGCACTATTTATTCAAAAAGACTTTCTTTTCCCCATTTAATTGTCTTGGTGACTGCGTCATCTCCAGGCTGTTTATTCTGTTCATTGATCTGTCTGTCCTCACACCATAGTGAAATCCGAAATCAGGTGTACAGTGAAATCCGAAATCAGGTGTACAGTGAAATCCGAAATCAGGTGTACAGTGAAATCCGAAATCAGGTGTACAGTGAAATCTGAAATCAGGTGGCAGCAGTATGTTTTTCTTTTTGTTTTGGCTCTTCTAGATTCACTGCATTTTCATATAAGTGTTCAAATCAACTTGACAATTTCCACGAGAAATGTATTAGCTGCTTTTGGATGATATGATGGTGTGCCTGGAAAACCCTAGAAAATGATAAAATTAATTCAAACAATTGAACAGAATAGTAGAATATAACAACAGTATGTGGAGATCAGTAACTTTCACATGCACAGGAAGTAACCATCTAGAGACAGAATGACGGAGAAAATCCTCATTATAATAGCAAGAAACAAGATAAAATATTAGGGATACATTTAATAAGAAATGTGCAAATCTATATGAGGAAAACTTTAAAACTCTGCTAAAAGAGACAAAATTAACTTTGACAAAAGAAAGGACATCTCATATTTTGATAGGATGGCTTACCATCATAAAGATGTCAGTTTTCCCTAAATTTGTAAATTTAACTTAGTCTCCACCCCCGCTTCAAATTCTAACTTTTTTTCATGAAGCTAGACAAGTTGATACTTAACTTCATATGAAAAAATAAACATGTAATAACAGAGAACACTAGCCGGGCGCTGTGGCTCATGCCTGTAATCCCAGCATTTTGGGAGGCTGAGGCGGGCAGATTGCCTCAGGTCAGGAGTTTGATACCAGTCTGGCCAACATGGTGAAACCCCATCTCTACTAAAAATACAAAAAAATTAGCCGGGCATGGTGGTGTGCACCTGTAATCCCAGCTACTCGGGAGGCTGAGGCAGGGGAACTGCTTGAACCAGGGAAGCGGAGGTTGCAGTGAGCCAAGATCATGTCACTGCACTCCAGCCTGGGCGACAAAGCAAGACTCCATCTCAAAAAAACAAAAAACCCCCCCAAAAACAAAAACAAAAACAGAGAACACTAAAAGTCTATGAGAAGGGATGAGCCCACTAGCCCTCCCAGACTGAAAACACACTATAAAACCTTTATAATTAAACCTATATGGTACAGGCATGTGAATATGCAGGGACACCAGTGGAGTAAAATAGATAATCTAGAAAAAGACCCAAGCTCATATGAAACTTTAGTACTGTAAATGATAAAGGTACCATTTCAAGTCACTGGGACCAAGAAAGAATTTTAATAAATGATGTTAAAACAACTGGTTAGGCCGGGTGCAACGGCTCACACCTGTAATCCCAGCACTTTGGGAGGCCGAGGTGGGTGGATCACCTGAGGTGGGGAGTTTGAGACCAGCCTGACCAACATGGAGAAACCCGTGTCTCTATTAAAAATACAAAAAATTAGCTGGGTGTGGTGGTACACGCCTGTAACGCCAGCTACTCAGGAGGCTGAGGCAGGAGAACCTCTCTTGAATCCAGGAGGCGGAGGTTGCAGAGAGCTGAGATTGCGCCACTGCACTCCAGCCTGGGCAACAAGAGCAAAACTCTGTCTCAAAACAAACAAACAAACAAACAAACAAACAAACAAACAACCGGTTAACCATTTGGAAAAAGATAAAATTAGATTTATATTTCACATGTATAAGAACAAACTCCAAATGGATCAGAGATCTAAATGTAAAAAATGAGAAGATTTTTCATGTCATGGGTGTCATCTTTATCTTTGGTGTTGGGAAAGACTTTCTCACTGTGACTGAAAGTCCAGATGCAGTGAAAGAAAAACAGACAAATTTGATTACATAAAAATAAAAACCAGGTGCCATGACTCAGGCCTGTGATCTCAGCACTTTGGAAAGCTGAGGCAGGAGAATCACTTCGGCTACCCTGTACTCCAGCATGGGTGACAGAGTGAGAACCTTTTAGAAAGAAGAAAAACAGAAAGAAAAGAAAAAAGAAAAAGAAAGAAAAAAAAGAAAGAGGAAAGAAAGAAGAAAGAAAAGCAAGCAAGAAAGAAGGAAGAAATAGAGAAAGAAAGAAGAGAGAGAAAGAATGAAAAGAAAGAAAGAGAAAGAGGAAGGGAGGGAGGGAGGGAGGGAGAGAGAAAGAGAAGAAAAAAGGAAAAGGTTGGGTGCAGTGGCTCACACCTGTAATCCCAACACTTTGGGAGGCCAAGGTGGGCAGATCACTTGAGCCTAGGAGTTCAAGAGCAGCCTGGGCAGTATGGTGAAACCTCGTCTCTACAAAAAATAAAAAATAACAAAAGAAGCCATTTGCATGGCAAAAATTGCATAAGCAAAGTCGGGCTGATAAACTGGGAGGAAATATTTGCAATATATGTCATAAAGGTCCAATATGCCTAATATATTAAAAACTTTTCTAAAAGTGAGAGAAAAAGACACAAATAAAAAATATAAAGAGACAATTCATTAAAGGAAAGATATAACAACAGGCTGGGAGTGGTAGGCTCATGTCTGTAATTCCAACACTTTGGGTTGGCAAGGTGGGCAGATTGCTTGAGCCCAGGAGTTCAAGACCAGCTTGGGCAACATGGTGAAATTCCATCTCTACAAAAAATACAAAAATTAGCCAGGCATCATGGTGCATGCCTGTAGTCCCAGCTACTCGGTGGGGGTGCTGAGGTAGGATTGCTTGAGACCAGGAGATCCAAAAAAAAGAAAGATATAACAACAGTCCTTAAACATGTCACTTCTGTTTCTTTTCCTCCTTCTTCTCCTCTTCCTCTTCCACCTCCTTTTCATCTTCCTTTTTATTTATGGTCAGGAATGTCCAACTTACCTGGTACTCTGCCATTTTGGTCCTGTGCCTTGCCTGGAGTGGTGAGAAGCTATATCCCACTTCACCATAGATTTTGACGTAGAAAAGATAATCTGCCATTTCATAATGACTGTTTTAGCAAGAATTTCACTAGGGGCAAAAGTGGCCTCTGCAGAACCTCTATTATATTAAATTTTAGCAACATTTAAAGTATTCTACATATTAGGTGGAGAGCTGTGGGCTTACTGCAAAAAAGTATAGAAACAGTTCTAGATTTGAAATTCTCTAGGAAGGCAATGATCTGGAATCTTCTACATCAACATTTTTCCATATTGTCTATAAAAATGGTCAGTCTTAAAAAGTATGCTCTCTCTCTCTGTCCTTTTAAGAGACAGGGTCTTGCTCTGTTGCCCAGGCTAGAGTGCAGTGGTACAATCATAGCTCACAGTAACCTTCAACTCTTGGGCTTAAGCAATTCTCCCACCTCAGCATCCCAAGTAGCTAGGACTACAGGTGTGTGCCACCTAATTTGTAAAACGTTTTGTAGAGATGGGGTGTTGCTATGTTGCCCAGGGTTGTCTTGAACGCCTGGCCTCAGTGATCCTCCCACCTCAGCCTCCCAAAGCACTGGGATTACAGGCATGAGCCACCGTGCCCAGCTGGTATGCACTCTTAAAAAATTATTTATCAGGTATTTTGAATATCTACCTACATAGTTTTAACATCAAAAACTAATGTGAAGCCTGCCTACTTATGCTGCCGGCCCACGTGTCCACCATAATAGTAGAAAACAAATGGCTGCAATACACTCTTTTCAGAATATGCCAAGTTTTTGGAGCTCCCAGCATTTTCCACCTAGGAAGAATTCAAGCCCTAAGATATATGGAATAATAAAACAGACTTCATTTTGAACGAAAAGTTTAGTCCCAAAGAAGTAAAGAAAAAACTGCAGACTATGGGTCAATGTGTGTTTGTAAGGGTACCTGTGTATGAAGTCCTGCATCTGTGTATGTGAATTGTAAGAAGTGGGCTGACTTACCAGACTTGATTTCAAAGCAGGGAGTGGGGACAGAGGAGACTTGCAGATCTTTACTGTGGCTAGTGCCACAGGCCACTGTTGGTTTTTTTTTTTTTTTTTTGAGACTGAGTCTCGCTCTGTCACCCAGGCTGGAGTGCAGTGGCACGACCTCAGCTCACTGCAAGCTCCGAACCCCAGGTTCACGCCATTCTCCTGCCTCAGACTCCCGGCTACAGGCGCCTGCCACCACGCCCAGCTTTTTTTCGTATTTTTTTTAGTAGAGACGGCGTTTCACAGTGTTAGCCAGGATGATCTCCATGTCCTGACCTCGTGATCTGCCCGCCTCGGCCTCCCAAAGTGCTGGGATTACAGGTGTGAGCCACCGCGCCTGGCCAAGCCACTGCATTTTAAAAATATGTTGGCTGTCAGTGGCTGAGGATAAGGAAAATGGTAAAGTCACTCGGAGATGGGCGACAAATGAGCACCTAGTATGAAGTAGTGAGAAACTGCCAACTGAAGGTGCCAAGGAGAAGGCGGGGTCATTGTTGAAAAAAGGCAAAGAGGCATCTTAAAAATCAAATATTTCTTTAAATATAACTGGGATAAGCAAAATTTCCCATCATTTTGGGAAAGTGAATGATAAATGTGGTTTTGAACTAAAGAAAAAGCAAAATAGACAAGAAGAGGTAGATATTCTACTTTATTCTGATAAAAATTGGGGCATTTACTGGTGGGTAACAGTAGTTCACATAACTAAGCCCTTGCATTGATCAAACAGCCCTAAAAATGGAGGGCCTGTGGTGACTTCCAAGCCCAAAGGTTACAGTTGAGTGTAAGGGAGGTCCAGCATATTCTTTCTGCAAAATGTCAGACAGCAAATATTTCAGGCTTTTGCAGGCCATCTGTTCTCCATTACAATTATTCAATTCTGCTGTTGTATGACAAAAGTAGACATGTATTGTACCTAAATGAATGAGCCTGGCTGTGCTCCAATAAAACTTTATTTACAAAAACAGGCTGCAGGCTAAATTTGGCTCATGGGCTATAGTTTGCCCACCCCTGGTTTAAGGCAACATTTAGCCTAGACTAAACCTTACGTGTGAATATTACTTTTTTTGGCGTTTTCTCTTTTTTTGAGATGGATTCTCGCTCTGTCGCCCAGGCAGGAGTGCAGTGGCGTGATCTCGGCTCACTGCAGCCTCTGCCTCCTGGATTCAAGCAATTCTCCTGCCTTAGCCTCCTGGGTAGCTAGGATTATAGACACGCACCACCATGCACTGCTAATTTTTATTTTTTTCCTTTTTGAGATGGAGTCTTGCTCTGTTGCCCAGGATGGAGTACAGTGGCATGGTCTTGGCTTACTACAACCTCTGCCTCCCAGGTTCAAGCAATTCTCCTGCTTCAGCCTCCCAAGTAGCTGGAATTACAGGCATGCCCCACCATACCCGGCTAATTTTTGTATTTTTAGTAGAGACGGGGTTTCACCATGTTGGCCAGGCTGGTCTGGAACTCCCGGACTCAGGTGATCTGCCCTCCTCGGCCTCTCAAAGTGCTGGGATTACAGGTATAAGTCACTGTGCCTGGGCTTTTTTTGGAATTTTCAATATCCTTCACTTCATTCTAGTCCTAAAAATATCTTATATCACACGCATTATAACAACCAGGCCATGCCTCCTTTCCAGAGTGCCCAGTCTACCTTGGGTTGTCACTAGATTTCAGAGCACATTACTTTCTGGGTAGTGGGAGCGGTTGAGCCCTTAAACAACAGAACTATTGAGTACTCAGTTGGCAAGGGCCTTAAGGCAGTGCTCCATTTATTCCACTTACTTCACAGAGAACAAAGAGGCATTACTGTTGACAATGGTCAGTCAGACGCAACTGTGTGCGGGCCGTTTGGTTTAGCTGGCTGTTGAATTTTCAACTTGAAGTGTGAGAGGGAGTGAGAAAGTCCTGCCTGGTCAGAAAGCGGAGCTGTCTTTCCAGGATGGAGTGCCACTTCACCTGTCTTCCCAGAACAAACTATAATGACATTCTAAGCAGTGGATTTTTACTGTAAAATCATTCCTAAAGCTGCATCTATTAGATGAACTGGGATTTGCGACTTTTAACCGCATTGGCAGGCAACAACTTCTCACCTGCTCTTCAAGTCACATGCCTCAGGTCTTTGAGGATTTCTGGTTTGCTTTATTCTCAGTCTCCTCCCACTGGCCACCTAATCTCTTGCCCATAACCCCTTAACTCCTTTTCAAACTTTGCTATTTTTCAAACTCAGTGTGTGTGGCCCACACGCTGCCTCTGCCCCTCCTTACTGGAGAACTTGGTGGTATAGATATTTGCTTATGGCACTACCTCTAAACCTTGGTGGATGCTGGGAATGACTTTCCCCTTTCCATGCTTCACCAGCTCCAAAGGAAAGAGGGGAGGGCTGTGGTTCCATGCAGATGTTGGGAGGGGAGAGGAGGAAGAGGATGGTAGGTGCTCAGATTTCAGCTCAATTCTTTCCATCAGTGGAATCCTCAAGGCCTCCTCGCCTCATGTTGCATAGGGACACACAACTGCCATTGCAAATAGTGTTTCCGCTTTTCAGATTCATCATATTCCTCCTGTTAAAACGACTATGATCCTGTCAAATGACAGCCCTAGCCTATTGTGTGAAGGAATATTTGACTATTCTGCTTATTTACAATGTAAGGGCCATTTAATCAACCAGGAAATGGGTCTACTGCAGTGGTTCTTAAACTTGAATGTACATTACAGTCACCTGGAGGGTTTGTTAGACCATGGAATGCTGGGCCTCATCCCAGAATGTCTGATTCAGTAGTTCTATGGTGGAGTCTGAGAACTTGCATTGCTAACAAATCCCCAGATGACGCTGTTGCTGCAGGTCCAAGGACTATTTCCTCTATCAGAATTACTGGGATGAATGGGAATACCCTTCCTCTCCTGGAAGAAGGAAGAAGGACTATCTCAGTTCAGCCCACATGGTAGTAAGTCACATTGAAAATGCTGTACAACTCATCAGTATGTTAAAACAACAGGCTTGAGTACCACAGTTAAAAACTGTTTAGTGAAGGGAGGATATACATTATCATATATATACACATACATATACATATATCACAGAGGCAAAATACAATCACCTGGGCAGAATGCCAGCATTAGTATCTTTCCTGAGAGGCAATCAGAACTTTTCGAAGACCACCTCTTGAAAATCAAATATTTCCTTAAATAGAACTGGGTTACTCATTTGCTTATTCCCTTAAGCATATTGCTTATTCCTGAAATATGCAATGACAAAGAGTGATGTTTCAATGAAATACAGATTATACCAGTTACTTGATGTGACCCTGGGTTTCAATGAGATAATTTTCTATTATTTATCTGTCATAAGTGTATAATACTTCATTTCTTCAAATACCTCATTTATTCTTCAATAAGTATTTGTTGACTGAAGAATGAATATTCAACATTATGAAAAAGAATATAATCTTGTATAACACTGTCAACTAAGCAGGAAGAATGACATAGTCCCAGGAACCCCAAGTTGCTGAGGGATGAATAACAAAGTAATAGGTGCTCGGAAGGAAGGGTGCAGTGGGGAGAGGTGTTTCTTTGCCAGGGAGCTTCTGGCAGGGCCACTGCTGTGCCAGAATGTATAGCCAAAGGCTCAAAGAGGGCCGAGCTCCAGCCTGCACTCTGCTCACCTGCTCTTCAAGCCACATGCCTAAGCGTGGGGATGCCTCAGCCTGAGGAAAGGGTAAGTTTGTCTCATCTTCCCAAAGACATCTGATGAGCTATTGGCAGCTCAGCTTACCTGTGTCTTGATTTTTCCCCAGGAGTCATCAGTCATGAGTCAGCCTGTAAACATTGGAGGGAGCAGAGGATAACTAGTTTTTTCACATGACACTGCATTTATGGAACAACATCATGGATTTTCAAGTCTTTCTTGTCATTCCCCATTAGCAGAGGCCTAAGATCTTTTCTGAAAACTTTCTGTGAACATTGGGGGACAGCTTTACTTTGTGGATTCAGGGTCCTGGGAAGGCATAACAAATTATCCCCATAGGAATCCTACCCTATTTAACAATTGAAGCCTGACTTTCCAGTTTATCGTTTTAGTCCAATGATGTTGAAATTAAAAAACTGTGAATGATTTTGCTGTTAGCACACTGCTTTTAGCACTCTGTTTATGTATGTCACAGAACTTAGTAGAGATCACTGTACGGATTTACTTTGCTGAGCCACTTCCCTCAGTATAAGATCTCTGGAAACATGCTGACTGTCAGTTCAGGTTGATAGAATGAATTGCCATAGGCTGGGTGGCTTACAAACAAAAGAAACATTTCTCACTGTTCTGGAGGCTGGAAAGTGGACATCCAGTGCCACCATGGTCCAGTTCTGGTCAGGGTCTTCTTCTGGGTTGCAGGCTGCCAACTTCTCCTTATATCCTCAAGTGGCAGAAAGTTCAAGGAAAGGGTAGGTTTGCCTCATCGTCTCAAAGACATCTGATGAGCTACTGGCAGCCCAACTTATCTGTGTCTTAATTTTTCTCCAGGAGTCATTAGTCATTAAGATAACTGATGTTTTCGCACAACACTGAATTTATGAAACCACCATTTATGTGGTTTCATAAATGCAGTGTTCTCTAGGGGGACAGAACGAATAGGATATATATATACACACACATACACATATATATGTGTGTGTATATATATGTGTGTATATATATATGAAGAGGAGTTTATTAAGGAGAATTGACTCACAGGATCACAAGAGGAAGTCCCACAATAGGTCATCTACAAGCTGAGGGACAAGGAAGCCGGTCTGAGTCCCAAAACCTCAAAAGCAGGGAAGCTGACAGTACAGCCTTCAGTCTGTGGCTGAAAGCCCAAGAGCCCCTGGAAAACCACTGGTGTAAGTCCAAGAGTCCAAAAGCTGAAGAACTTGTAGTATGATGTTTGAGGGCAGGAAGCATCCAGCACAGGAGAAAGATGAAGGCTCAAAGACTCAGCAAGTCATCTCCTTCCACCTTCTGCCTGCTTTTTCTAGCCCAGTTGGCAGCTGCTTAGATGGTGTCCACGCAGTTTGAGGGTGGGTCTGCCTCTCCTAGTCCACTGACTCAAATGTTAATATCCCTTGGCAACACCCTTACAGACACACCCAGGAACAATACTTTATATCCTTTAATCCAATGAAGTTGACATTCATTAACCATCACAGGGCATTTTCAATAATTCTACCAAAAGCTAGCTAGTTATCTGGGCTTTTCTTATAAGGGCACTAATACATTTAAGAGTTCCCCACCCTTATGCCCTAATTACTACCCAGAGGCCCTACCTCCAAATACCATCACATTGAGATTAGGGTCTCAACATAGGAATTTTGGGGGCAACACATTCAGTCCATTGCAGGGGTCTTGTCATATTTTTGGCAGTCTCATTTTCCCCAGTTCTTAGTGCAGTCCCTGTTACACAGTAGACCCTCAGCAAATGTTTACTGAATAAATAAACAGCAAGGATCCTATCCCATTCTTTGTTCCATGACTTCAGGAAAATTAAGACTTTATGTTCATAGTCTTGCAACATTTATTTATTCTTAAGGAAGACTGAAGAATAATTTGATTTCTGATCTAGATTCTAAATCCAAATCAGTTCTTCACATCTTCAGGTCTACAAATATTATTTGGAATAAAAGTTCACAAAATTTTTTATGTCATCAGCATATGTTTCTTTAATTTGATTCCTTGTGTCTATTTTTCAAAAAACCCTAAGATTCTATTCTGGCAGATATTATTTTCGTTGCTTTATTAACATTTTTGGCATTTGCTCTGGTACTATCAAAATAGGTCCTTGCACCATATAGAGCAAATGCCAGTTTACCTAGGAACTCCATTTGCCAGTCTCTATTGCATCAAGATGTGTCCATGTTTATTGCAATAAATGTGATTAGAAAAGTCTGCTATTCCTAGGTCAAGGATATTAAAAAGAGGTATGCCTCCTCCCTGTTCTGTCCTCCTTTCGCCAGCTAGTACAAGGCAACAACGAGGCCACAGGAAGGGTTAATCTTTTCTTGTTTGTTTTTTTTTTGGGGGGTAGAGTCTCACTCTGTCTCCAGCCCAGGCTGGAGTGCACTGTTGCAATCTTGGCTCACTGCAACCTCTGCCTCCCGGATTCAAGTGATTCTTCTGCCTCAGCCTCCCAAGTAGCTGGGACTACAGGCACATGCCACCATGCCCAACTAACTTTTGTATTTTTAGTAGAGATGGGGTTTCACCATATTGGCCAGGTGGATCTCAAACTCCTGACCTCATGATCTGCCCACCTTGGCCTCCCAAAGTGCTGGATTATGTATGTGAGCCACCGCACCTGGCCAGGAAGGGTTAATCTTATTTGTACCATGCACGGATTGTTTGGCACACTGAAGAATGCTCTGCATCCCTTCTCAGACTAACATTTTATTTATTATTTTTTAAATTTTAATTTTTATTGTTTTAGAGACAGAGTCTCACTATGTTTCTCAGGCTGGTCTCAAACTCCTGGTCTCAAGTAATCCTCCTGCCTCAGCCTCCTGCATGGTTGTGATTAGAGGCACAAGCCTGGCAAAATAATGTTTTAAAATGCATAAAATAAAATAATAGAATTATAAAGGAAATAAATTATATTGAATACAATTCTAAAAACATTTATAAAGTTAGTGATATGGGCTGGGTGCAGTGGCTCATGCCTGTAATCCCAGCACATTGGGAGGCCGAGGTGGGTGATCACCTGAGGTCAGAAGTTTGGGACCAGCTTGGCCAACATGGGGAAACCCTGTCCCTACTAAAAATACAAAAAACATTAGCTGGGCATGGTGGCGCGTATCTGTAATCCCAGCTACTCAGGAGGCTGAGGCAGGGAGAATCACTTGAACCTGGGAGGCAAAGGCTGCAGTGAGCCGAGACTGACTGCACCATTGCACTCCAGTCTGGGCAACGAGAGCTAAACTCCATCTCAAAAAAAAAAAAAGTTAATGATATATGTATATACTAGCTCTCTATTGATATATAAGAAATTATCTCAAACCTCAGTAGCTTAAAACATTTATTCTCTCACATTCCTGGGGGTCAGGAATCTGGGACCAGCTTAGCTGGGTGGTTGCGGCTCAGGGTATCTCACAAGGCTACAATCAAGATGCCAACTAAGTAGGCAGTCATCTGGAGGCATTACCTGGGGAAAGATCCACTTCCAAGCTCACTCAAATGGCTCTTGGCAAGCTTCAGTTCTTTGTCATATTGACCTCTCCACAGACTCATGGCACCTCTCTCCCCAAACTCTCGTTATCTCAGGACATGGCAGTTCACTTCCCCTGCAGCAAGTACTCCAAGAGAGGGTACAGAATCTAGATTCAGTACACTTAATCTCAGAAATAACATCCCATCATTTCTGCCATATTCTGTTACTGGAAGGGGATTACAGAAGGGTATGAATGCCAGGAAACCAGGATCACTGGGAGCTAACGTAAAGGTTTCTTACAATAACATGCTTTTTAAAAAATATATTAAAGTAGAGGATCTAGAGGCGGGTATACAACTGCTATAATCTTGAAAGCATTCCAAGTAGAAATAATTCTTTGAAAGATCTGCAAAACAGTATTTTTTTTTTTTTCTGCAATGGAGTCTTGCTGTGGCTCTGTTGCCTAGGCTGGAGTGCAGTGGCGCCATCTCAGCTCACTGCAACCTCTACCTCCCGAGTTCAAGCAGTTCTTCTGCCTCAGCCTCCCAAGTAGCTGGGACTATAGGCATGCGCCACCACACCCGGCTAATTTTTGTATTTTTAGTAGAGACAGGGTTTCACCATATTGGCCAGGCTGGTCTCGAACTCCTCACCTCGTGATCTGCCTGCTTTGGCCTCCCAAAGTGCTGGGATTACAGGCGTGAGCCACCATGGCCTAACAGTAATGATTTTTAAAAAATCGGTGATTTTTATTTGTTTCAAAGTCGTAAGTACTGGTAATACTTCTGTGGTTTTGCCTACATTCATAATTAGGGGAAATGATAAATTTTAGTTTGAAGCTAACAAGGATGTACTTGTTGCCCAGGCTAGAGTGCAGTGGTGCGATCTCGGTTCACTGCAACCTCCGCCTCCTGGGTTCAAATAATTCTCCTGCCTCAGCCTCCCGAGTAGCTGGGATTACAGGTGCCTGTCACCATGCCCCGCTAATTTTTTTGTATTTTTAGTATAGACAGGGTTTCACCATGTTGGCCAGGCTGGTCTTGAATTCCTGACCTCAGTCGATCTGCCCGCCTTGTCCTCCCAAAGTGCTGGGATTACAGGCGTGAGACACCATGCCTGGCCCCAACAGGGATGCAATTTTTCCCATACAAATATAGTGACATCTCTGGGAGGTTGGGAGAGGTTATGAGGGATACAAGACTACATACTGGGTACTGTGTACACTGGTTGGGTGATGGGTGCACTAAAATCTCAGAATTCACCACTGAAGAATTCATCCATGTAACCAAAAACCACCTAAAAAACTATTGAATTAAAAACAACAACAAATTGTAGTGACAGCTCTGAATTCTATCCATGGATTCTTTGGGAATTGGTAGACCCCTGAGTTCTACCCGTGGAGTCACAAGATGGCTTGGGGCCCTGAATCACTGCATGGAGAAAATACTTACCAACCTAATTCAATTATCTTGGACTGTTTGAGAGAAAGCTTCTATTGCATGTAAGCCATTATGTATTTTGGAGTCGTTATCACAGTCTAGTTTATACTATCTTTGCCAATATACATTTGCTAATTACTGTATTATTACTATTGTCTTTACTTTGTCCTTCAACATACACTTTTGAGTAAAATTTCAATTTCCCTTTGTGTTAAATTTCATATATGTATCTATTATTACAAAGCATCTCATACCACTAGCAAGTGATAAATTGAATTATGTATCAAAGACATATGGAGACTAAATTATATTTTTCCAGTGATTTTTACTTTTTTTCTTCCAATTTTCAGTTTTATGCAGCAGATGGTTGTCACCTAGATCTCTACGAATAAATTATAAATGGCCAATAACAATAAATATTTGTATAGTTCCTGCTCCTGAGCAATTTTTAAGAATGTGAATGAATTTGTTTTCAAGCAGTAAGCATCTCATCATGGGGTCAATAGATCATCTCACATGCCATTAACAGAAATATCTCCCTGGAATATATAACGGAGAATGAATGTGTTTAGGAAAAGCTACTGGATGGGCTTGTGTGGGCAGAAATTAACCTCATTACAGTACAAAGTTAAGCTTAATAATGTAGATTAAAAAAATAATGGCACAAATACTAGAAACACAAAGTCAGGTCTGTGCTTTTATTATACTCTCTAAAATTGAACTTAAGAAATCAGCCAGTGGTGCTTTTAACTTAACTAGCCAGACCCTAATATGACAAATAGAATTTTGAAAAATAACTGTCTTGCAAAGGATTAAGCCATTTTTAGGCCTAACTATCACAGTTGGTTGGAATTCAGTATAAAGGTTCCTTTTAAATGGAAGCAAACAATTTTATATATGTTTTCCTCTTGTTGAACCAAGTACTCCCCTTAATTGCTCGACAGAAGATTCATGCAGCTAAAAGAGGGCTCTAGAGCACTCTAGGAAAAAAACCCCCCAAAATTCCACAAAAACAAATCTAAAAGATTCTCTCTGGAAGCAAATATTCTCCTAGCAGCAGTTTATAATTAGGCTTATCAAGATTGTGATTTAGTAATGGATATTTTATTATGTATATATGTATGTAGGTATTTTTTAGAGGCAGGTTCTCTCTCTGTCACCCAGGTTGGAATACAGTGGCTCATACAGTTCAAACTTTGGGTGTAAGTAATCCTCCCAATTTGGCTTCCTAAAGTGATGGGATTACAGGCATGAGCCACCATACCCATCCTTATTCTTCTTATTAAATGAGAGCTTTTACACTTGATTTGGAAGAACCATACACACACACACACACACACACACAAACTCTTGCTGGGCACAGTGGCTCATGCCTGTAATCCCAGCACTTTGGGAGGCCGAGGTGGGCAGATCACCTGAGGTCAGGAATTTTAGACCAGCCTGGCCAACATGGTAAAACCTCGACTCTACTTAAAATACAAAAATTAGCCAGGTGTGGTGGTGCATGCCTGTAATTCCTGCTACTTGGGAGGCAGACGCAGGAGAATCGCTTGAACCCGGGAGGTGGAGGTTGCAGTGAGCTGAGATCGTGCTACTGCACTTTAGCCTGGGCAACAGGGCAAGACGCCATCTGAAAAACAAAAACAAAAACAAAACCTCTCAGTTTTCAGGTCTTCATTATCTTACACAATTCAAATAAAATTCAATGGTCTACATTTTTAAATTTTTTTTGATATTAATATTATAAAAGTAATTTTTATTGTAGAAATTTTGGAAAATACAGAACAGCAAAGGAAGAAAATGGTTTAAAAATTGCCAATAATGTGGCCACTCAATACAAACGCAGATCAGTATCATTTTGAGGTTGATTCTTCTGTTTCTACATAGATAAACTCTTAAATGAGATTTTTAAAATGACTTATTTATTTATTTATTTTTAGAGACAGTCTCCCTATGTCACCCAGGCTGGAGTGCAACTTCAAGGTACCCTAAGCCAGAACCACCCAAATAATCACTCTCAGATTTCTGACCCACAGGAGCTGTGAGATAGTAAACATTAAGCTGGTAAATTCAGGGTCATTCATTACGCAGCAGTAGATAACCAATACATTTGATTTCACTTACTTCCTACTTCATAGGAATTGAAACCAATACATTTGATTTCACTTACTTCCTACTTCAGTCTCATTTACTGGCTCGGCCTCCTCTTTTAACAAATCCCTAAATGTTGGGATTCTTTAGGGTTCAGTCCTGGGCTGTCTTCTCTTGTCTGCCTATATTGCTCATCCTAGGATTTTATTTTATCTTATTTTATTTTATTTTATTTAGAAATGGTCTCGCTCTGTCACCCAGGCTGGAATACAGTGGTGCAATCATGGCTCACTGCAGTCTCAACATCCCGGGCTCAAGAAATCCTCCTGCCTCAGCCTTCCAAGTAGATGGGACTACAGGTGTGCACTACCACACCCAGCCAATTTTTTTTACTTTTAATAGAGATGGGGTCTCCCTATGTTGCCCAGGCTGGTCTTGAACTCCTAGGCTCAAGCCATCCTCCTGCCTTGGCCTCCCAAATTGTTGGGATTACAGGTGTGAGCCAATGCACCAAGACTCATCCAATAATTTAATATATAATCTTTTTGCTTTATCTCTTGGCTAGAACTCACCTCTGAACCATGGATGCACACATTTAACTTCATACCTTCCCTCTGTACTTAAAAGTTTCACACATGTATTAAGCCTAATATATTCAAAATTGAACCCCTGATTTCCTTCCCTTTTCCCAATCTATTCCATTCTTCCCTTCCCTATCATTCTCTCCAATCTTTCCAACTATTATAATGGTATTGGGAAGGGTGCTGTGGCTCAGGCCTGTAATCCCAGCACTTTGGGAGGCCGAGGCGGGAGGATCAAGAGGTCAAGACCATCCTGGCCAACATGGGGAAACCCCGTCTCTACTAAAAATACAAAAATTAGCCGGGCCTGGTGGTGTGCGCCTGTAGTCCCAGCTACCTGGGGGGCTGAGGCAGGAGAATCGCTTGAACCCGGGAGGTGGAGGTTGCAGTGAGCCAAGATTGTGCCACCACACTCCAGCCTGGCGACAGTGGGAGACTGTCTCAAAAAAAAAACAAAAAACAGAAAAAAAAAAAGCATCACTGAGGCCGGGCGCGGTGGCTCAAGCCTGTAATCCCAGCACTTTGGGAGGCCGAGACGGGTGGATCACGAGGTCGGGAGATCGAGACCATCCTGGCTAATACGGTGAAACCCCGTCTCTACTAAAAAAATACAAACTAGCCAGGCGAGGTGGTGGGCGCCTGTAGTCCCAGCTACTCGGGAGGCTGAGGCAGGAGAATGGCGTGAACCCGCGGAGCTTGCAGTGAGCTGAGATCCGGCCACTGCACTCCAGCCTGGGCGACAGAGCGAGACTCCGTCTCAAAAAAAAAAAAAAAAAAAAAAAAAAAAAAAAGCATCACTGATCATTAGAGAAATGCAAATAAAAACCACAATGAGATACCATCTCATATAGTCAGAATGGCTACTCTTAAAAAGTCAAAAAAATACGAGACCCTGGTGAGGTAGTGAAGAAAAAGAAATTCAATATACTGTTGGTGAGAGTGTAAATTAGTTCAGCCCTTGTGGAAGGCAGTGTGGCAATTCCTCAAAGATCTAAAAAAGAAATATTTGACCCAGGCAGGGCACGGTGGCTCACGCCTGTAATCCCAGCACTTTGGGAGACCAAGGCAGGTGGATCACAAGGTCAGGAGTTCAAGACCAATATGGCGAAACCCCATCTCTACTAAAAATACAAAAATTAGCCCGGTGTGGTGGCGCGCACCTATAGTCCCAGCTACTCAGGAAGCTGAGGCAGGAGAATCACTTGAACCTGGGAGGCAGAGATTGCAGTGAGCCGAGATCACGCCACTGCACTCCAGCCTGGGCGACAGAGTGAGACTCCGTCTCAAATAAAAAAAAAATGGAAAAAAAAAAAAAAGAAATATGTGACCCAACAATGCCATTACTGGGTATATACCCAAACGAATACAAATCATTCTATTATAAAGATAACATGCACACATACGTTCACTGCAGCACTATTCACAATAGCAAAGATATGGAATCAACCTAAATGTCCATCAATGATGAACTGGATAAAGAAAATGTGGTACATATACACCATAGACAACTATGCAGTCATAAAAAAATAATGAGATCATGTCCTTTACAGGGACAGGGATGGAAATGGAGGCCATTATCCTATGCAAACTAACATGGGAACAGTAAACCAAACACCACATGTTCTCACTTATAAGTGGGAGCTAAATAATGAGAACATATGGACACACTGAGGGGAAAAACACACACTAGGGCCTTTAGGAAGGTGAGGGTGGGAGGAAGAAGAGGATGGGTAAAAACAACTAATGGGTACTCAGCTTAATACCTTGGTGATGAAATAACCTTTACAACCCCCCAGGATGCGAGTTTACCTACATAACAAATCTGCACTTGTACCCCTGAACTTAAAAGTTAAATAAATAAATAAATAAATAAATAAATAAATAAGGTCTCCTTCTTTGATTTTCTGTCACTTCCTGATTGATAGCAGACTTTGTGTCTGCTTACATGTGTTCTGTCTCCCTCACAGAGAGGAAGTCTACCTGGGAGCAGTGTCAGCGTTAGGCTTCATCACTGCTCCATTCTGAGCACCTGGCTTAGTACCTATAAATGACATATGCTTCAGGCAAATTTGCTGACTAAATAAACAAATTAATAAATGACAGGTGAAAACCCACTCATTTTTAAAATGCTAGTTCTTTCCCTCTTTCACCATTGGTACGTGCTCCCATGTAGATCTGATGTGAGAGTTACACCCTATCTCTGCTGGATTCTGAGTTACAGCAGAGAAGCAGCAATGATGTCTTATACTGCTTTGCAGGCTATAATGGCGGTCTCCAACCTTTTTGGCACCAGGGACCGGTTTTGTGGAAGACAATTTTTTCACAGACTGAGGGCGGTAGGATGGTTTTAGGATGATATAAGTGCATTACATTTATTGTGCACTTTATTTCTATTATTATTACATTGTGATATATAATGAAATAATTATACAACTCACCATAATGTAGAATGGAAATAGTTCAGATGTTCCACCTAAAAAGATAAACAAAACAAACCAAACAAAACCAGTCAGGTCTTGGAGCTTGCCTTTGTGCTAGACTTCCAACTCCATCCTCATTCCTATTTTCTTGTCTTTGTCCTTTTCACATATCCATTCTTCTCCATTTCTCTTTTTCCTTTTCTTTCTTGTGGGGAAAAGAAAGAGATCAGCCTGTTACTGTGTCTATATAGAAAGAAGTAGACATAAGAGACTCCATTTTGTTCTGTATTTGAGATGCTGTTAATCTGTGACCCTACCCCCAACCTTGTCCTTGCCAGACACATGTGCTGTGGTAACTCAAGGTTTAATGGATTTTGGGCGTGCAGGGTGTGTCTTTGTTCCTAGAAAAGCTAGGTGTTGTCCAAGGTTTATCCCCATGTGATAGGATGAAACAATGTTGCTAAAAGGTTTATCTCAAGGCACAGGATTTTCCTTTAAACTTATTCATGTCACAGAGATCCTTGTTCGTTCTTATGTCTTACTGCTAATTTCCTCCCTAAAAACGATCCTATTGTCCTGCCACTCCCTTATCTTTAAGATGGTAAAGATAATTATCTATAAATACTAAGGGAACTCAGAGGCCGGTGCCCTGGGCCCCCACTTTTCTTTCTCTATACTTTGTCTCTGTGTCTTATTTCTTTTCTCAAGTCTCTCGTTCCACCTAACGAGAAACACCCACAGGTGTGGAGGGGCAGGCCACCCCTTCATTTCTTTTTTTTTTTTTTGAGATACAGTCTTGATCCGTCGCCTAGGCAGGAGTGTAGTGGAGTGCACTCCTTGGCTCACTGCAACTGCCACCTGCTGGGTTCAAGCAATTCTCCTGCCTCAGCCTCCCAAGCAGCTGGGACTGCAAGTGCCCTCCACCAAGCCCGGCTACTTTTTGTATTTTCAGGAGAGACAGAGTTTCATCATGTTGGCTAGGCTGGTCTTGAACTCCAGACCTCAAGTGATCCGCCCGTATCGGCTTCCCAAAGTGCTGGAATTACAGGCGTGAGTCACAGCATCTGGTCCATTTCTCTTTTTCAATTATCTTAAAATCAAACCAAAACAAAAGCAACATCTCTCAAGAAAGAGTTTTATAATCATATTAACAATAACTTCTCCATGACCATAAATTAAAATTACCTTGCCTGGTGCGGTGATTCACGCCTGTAATCCCCACACTTTGGGAGGCTGAGGCGGGCGGATCACTTGAGGCTGGGACTTTAGGACCAGCCTAGCCAACATGGTACAACACTGTGTCTACTAAAAATACAAACATTAGCCGAGCTTGGTGGCAGGAGCTTGTAACCCCAGCTACCTGGGAGGCTGAGGCAGGAGACTCGCTTGAACCCAGGGTGCAGAGGTTGCAGTGAGTGGAGATCGCGCCACTGCACTCCAGCCTGGGTGACAGAGCGAGACTCTGTCTTAAAAAAAAAAATTAAAATCAGCTTACTAATTTATCTCAGCATTCTATTTGTATCTTCTTAGCAGTTTTGGTCATTTGTTTACAACTATATTTCTTCTTGAGATAATGTTCTATTTTTCCCCAATGCCCATTTGTTAAATGTGCTCTTTTTTCTTTTCATCGTTTGTATTTTAATAGGAAAAAACATTTATTACAAAGAATGAATCTGTAATGGTGGAATTTCAGGTTTTGAAAATAAGAATGTGCATAAAACATCTAAATTCAAGAACCTCCTACTTTGTAGATTGGGAAAGCATCACGTATCAAATGGATCTATTTCAAGAGAACTCTGGATAACTTCCATTTACTAAAGGCTTTGTTCCAAAGGATCTCCTTTGTTACTACCTCATGTTATGTAAATAAAATCATAATCAGTTATATTGCCTCAAATAGATGACTTCATTTTCAACACATGTGCAATAGAACTGCAGAGGGTGGTTCAAGATAATATCCTAGCCTGCAATTTGGTGTATTTTGAATAAATGAATAAAAGCTGTCAGCCCTGAGCGCCCCGACTCCCAATACATGCAGAATAGCAGAGGTGTATTGAGCCTTTATTTTTTTTAATATCGTTCATTCACTCAACAAACATTTACTGAGAATATCTCAGACCAGCTGACGCTTAGGGAAATAGAAAAGAACAAACGTTGAATATCGGGGGTGGGGTTTCCCCTGATACCTGCGAATGCTTGGGACATCAGGGCACAACAAAAAGGCCAAAGATTCCTGTGTCCACATCCTGAGGTGGTAATGGGGTGAGGGACAGATTGTACAATAAAAACCTAGGATTCACTCCATGAAAATGTTGTCGTTTTTCTAGTTGAGCTGGTAAATTGGACTGTGAAGAACGAATGCCCTAAGCACAGTGGTAAATTCACAACCAGGGCCCAATACTAGATTCGATTCATTCACTGACACTCTGGTTGCTAATTACAAGTCTGAAATCCATCAAGGTAGTTAACATCCCTAAACATCAAAGTAATAGCTGTTTTAGGCCCGGAGAAGTATAAATGGAAAATGTGCTAAGGCTGCTATTTAAATTCTATTCAAATCAAATGTGGCTTGTCTATTTTCAATCTGACTTATAATTTTGGCCAACCAAGCTACGTTGGGCTGTGTTCCTCGGCTGCCACAAATCATCCTCACACGCTGAACGCTCAACTGCTTCGTGCTCTTTATTTTTTTATGCCTATGCCAACGTTGCCGATGTGGTAAAGCTGTCACCACGCCGTCAGGAGGGCTGCCTCCTTTGGCGCGAGCAGCCTAAGAGGCTTCCGGCTGCTGCGGCGTGAGCTCCGATTTGATCAGACGCCACTCAGGAAAGGGATTTAGATAGTGGCCATTTTTCAACTAAGTGCGTCTGCCGCACTTAATAGCAAAGCAAAAGCCACGCTTTCTAATCTCCAGTTAGGCGTCCAAGAGGAAGAAAAGTGGCCCTTGCTGGCTGAGGGAGCAGCGTGTCTGCAATCACAGCCGCGTTTCGCGTCCCGGTCTTTTCCTCAATGTGGGATTGTCTTTTTGTTTTCTGCCTGGTCTAAGCTGGCCCCACAGAAAGAACAGACCAGACAAGCTTACTGAGGTAAAAAGTAGGGGCGGCGGTGAGGTCTAGAGGGTCTCCTCGGAACTAGGCAGAGACGCCAGCAAAAAGCGCCTTACGGCCAAGCTAACTCAGGCCTAGCAAAATACCCACCCCACTCTACCGCCTCTCCGGCCAAGGCCGTCGCTACGGACCAAAGGGCGGGGCCGCCACACCTTCGCGCGAGACCAGCCACGCGACTTCCCAGAAGGCCTCAGGCAACATCTTAATAGCAGCCAGGAAGCCGGACCAGAGCGGAAGGGTGGGCGGGGCTTGCCCGCATATTTAGCGGCACCCGAGGCCACGCCCCAGATCGGAAGTGACGGAGACGAGCTAGCGCGTCGAAGGTACCTCTATGGTTTTCCTCGCGTTCTTGAGTCGGGAAATGGCCGCTGTGTGGTTGCAACGGAGATAAATCCCCGGAACCGCGATTCTGCGTGTCAGGTAGGCCTCGCGCTGTATTCAAGTTACTCAAGAAGCAGTGAAGACCGAGGACAGGCCATATTTTTGACTTTTCTGTGGGTGGTGACGGGTTGGCGGCAAAAGGAGAACCAAGGAGACGTTGCGCCGTTATTTGTGCGTTTTTTTGTCAGCTTCCTTCAGGTTTTCGAGGCACTACGGGCCGAAAAGGCCGGGCGGGGTCGCTGAGCAGTGCTAACGGCGCGCGCGCTCGTGTTTGCGAACCTGGCTCGAGACCCAGAGCCCGCGCGGCCTCCGGTGCGCGTGCGCATATATTCCTCTTCCACCCTTCCCCCATTTCTTCAGCCTGTATCTCTGCGCGCGGCCGCCTGAGCCTTCCGCGCACGCGCGCTCGTTCCTTTCTTTCTACCCCGCCTACGGCGCCGACGGCCGCCGGAGGTGCAACTTGTGTCCGCCTCTCATTGGCTGGGACTGTCACCTTTCTTCCTGGCCTTTGGGGTTTTGAGAAAATAACTGACCCGCAGCAAAGTGCGTTGAGTAGGTCTGCCCCTTTTCTCGTGGTCTTTAAAACAACTCCCCAGCTTCAGACTACCCGTCAGTTGATGCCTCGTTTTTGTGATGCTACTAGGTTTTAGGGCTCTGTTCTGCCCCTCGCTGCTGACCCTGGTTCTCTGGAGTTAATTTCAGTACCTCCTGCAACCCGCTGTTTTGAAGCTAGCGCGCGCTGTTGACTTGTGGTGGTTGCCTAGTTACGTTTCCCTAGCGAGGGGATTGGGTCTTAGCTGGTGGTTCTGAGCCTGGCCCTGCCCCATCCGGCTGAAAGTGCGGTTCTTCAAGAGTACTAGCGAAGCCGAGTCTTCAGCAAGTGATTCAGCCCGTTTAGTCGTGTCAGAAAAGTTGCAGCCACAGTTGGTAGACAGCTGGTGTGAGAAATGGGTGGGAGTGGCGAATTGGACTTTGCCTTCATTTTAAATTCATGAGTTGGCTTTTAAGATTCGCTGTTAAAATTTATTTCTTCAGAATCAAGCTGAAGTACCAGCAGCTACTTTGCTACCTCAGACTTTTTGAAAAAGCATTTTAGAATTGGAAAAAAATTAAGACAAGTTGAAAGCAAGTGTGGCTAACACTGATGAAAAAGATGAACTATTTCAGACTTGTATCTCATTGCAACAGCGTCTTTCAAATTTTTTCGTATTACAAAGCAAAACAAAATGTATTGCTCCTCGTGTGAATTCTCATTTCAGTTCGACTCTAGTTGAAATGTTAGGATACTGTTTAGGCAGTAAATAACCTTTACGTAGGAAAAACTGCTACAAGGTTTGTGCATTTTTGATCATAACCAATTCAGGATAAATAATTTGATGGGAGGGAAAAAGTGACTCCTCGGCGGGAGTTGAGGCTGCGGGGAGCTATGCTCGTCCCCCTGCACTCCAGAGGGGGCAACAGAGCGAGACCTTGTTACTTAAAAAGGTAGCTCATGGTAAACAATCTTGGAGCGTCTTAGTGATATCATACTTTAACCACTACATTGTGGTGAACGCTGAAATATCTTCTTTAATTCAGGTAATTAAAATGGTGGCAAAGGAAACTGTTTAGCCAGAGCCCTTCTTGACTTTGAAGAACAGTGGTATTGTAAGACTTGGTGACAGACCTGTAGCCCACTGGTAGGCTCAGCTCAGGTCTGGTTTATTTATTTATTTATCTATTTATTTTTGAGACGGAATGTCGCTCTGTCGCCCAGGCAGGAGTGCAGTGGCCCAATCTCGGCTCATTGCAACCTTCCGTCTCCGGGTCCAAGCGATTCTCCTGCCTCAGCCCCCCGCCCCCCTCCCCCCCAGCAGCTGGGACTGCAGGCGCCCGCCACCACACCCGGCTAATTTTTGTATTTTTGGTGCAGATGGGGTTTCACAATATTGGTGTCGAACTCCTGACCTCAGGTGATCCACTCGCCTGGCCCACCCAAAGTGCTGGGATTACAGGGGTGAGCCCCTGTCCCCGTCCTCGGTTGAATTTATTAAACTTTTGTGGGCAGCAAGCTGTAAGAGGTTAACTATGTGATGAGAAGACTTAGAAATGGAGAAAGTTTTATCAGTTCTGTGTAGGGCTTAGGCTGGGAGTTTCCGGAAACTACGTTGGAAATCAGTAGTTGCACACTAGCTGAATTCAGCTGTGTAATTTACAGTGGTTTGTTATTTAGTAAATAAGTAGAAGAGGGAATTAAGAAGCTAAAATCTCTGGGTACTTGTTGGATATGAATTTGTTAATTGTTTACACTCAGGTAATAAGTGTTACCTCAGTCATAGCATTTAATATCTTCTGACTGTCCCTAAGGCTGAAAACCAGCCAGTATACTAACACGAAGATAGTACTAGCCTGTATTTGTGTAGTATTTTAGAGTTTTCAAACACCTTAATTTTATTTATTTATTTGTTTGAGACAGAGACTCGCTTTGTAGCCCAGGCTGGAGTGCAGTGGCGCCATCTCGGCTCACTGCAACCTCCGCTTCCCTGGTTCAAGCGATTCTTGTGTCTCAGCCTCCCAAGTAGCTGGGACTACAGGCGCCCGCTTGCCACCACGTCCCGCTAATTTTTCTTTTTTCTTTCTTTTTCTTTTTTTTGAGACACACGCTTGCTCTGTCGCCCAGGCTGGCGTGCAGTGGTGTGATCTTGGCTCACTGCAACCTGTGCCTCCCAGATTCAAGTGATTCTCATGCCTCAGCCTCCCCAGTAGCTGGGATTACATGGGATTACAGGTGCACGCCACAAAGGCCGGCTAGTTTTTCTTTTTCTGTTTTTGAGATGGTGTCTTGCTCTGTCATCCAGGCTGGAGTGCAGTGGCATGATCTTGGCTCACTGCAACTTCCACCTCACGGGTTCAAGCGATTCTTCTGCCTCAGGCTCTAGAGTAACTGAGATTAGAGGCGACCGCCACCACGCCCTGCTAATTTTTATATTTACAGTAGAGACAGGGTTTTGCCATGTTGGCCAGGCTGGTCTTGAACTCCTGACCTGGGTTGATCCGCCCGCCTTGGCCTCCCGAAGTGTTGGGATTACAGGCGTAAGCCACTGCATCCAGCCCAGACATTTTATTAAGCATGTCTGGAAAGACTTCTAAATGATGCTGATTAATGCTGTATCAAAAATATTAAGGTAACCTTACATGCAAGAATCATTTTAAGTAAACGTGGTTAGCTTGTAGAAAGGCTGCCTAAACAAGGTTTACCAATAATGATGGCTAATGCTAGATTGTATACCATGAGTCAAACATTAAACTAAGCTCTTTACGTGCCTTAGTTCATTTAACCCTGTACTTGTAAGGAAGTACCATTAGTAGCCTTAAAAAAACAAACAAAAACAAAAAACAAAAAAACACCAACAGAATTTGAAGCTGACAGATTAACTTGTTCAGTGTTGGTCAGTTAGTTAATGGCTGAGCCAGGATTTGAATCTAGTCAACTGGAATAATAGTCATGGGCTATATTTTTAGGATTTGAAAAGATGGAAATAGCATTACTTTGTTTACAACAATCTGGGGACCAAACTCCTTGAGTCTGCTAAAATGAAGACTAGGATCAAGTACGCTTGAAATCGTAATCTTAAAGAATTCATTTTGGGTGGCTTTGTCTTGGATATTTTGTTGAATCCAGTTTCTTTGCTCTGATCAAATTTTCTCCTTTTTTTTTGAGACAGCCTCGCTCTTGCCCAGGCTGGGGTGCAGTGGTGCAATTTTTGCTCACTGCAATCTCTGCCTCCTGGGTTCGAGTGATTCTTCTGCCTCAGACTCTGGAGTACCTGGGACTATAGACGTGCACCACTACGTCTGGCTAGTTCTGGTATTTTTAGTAGAGACGGGGTTTCCCCATGTTGGCCAGGCTGGTCTCGAACTCGTAACCTCAGGATCTGCTCACCTCGGCCTCCCAAAGTGCAGGGATTACACGGTGAGCCACCATGCCTGGCCTGATATAATTGTTTTCTAGCTAGTTTCTGATCACTTATGTTCTAGCTGGTCATTATGTATTATTTCATGAAAGATAGGCTCTGTTTAGATATTTAAGAACCTTATTTTTTTAAAAAAAACCTGCTTTATTTTATCCTGTGTTCCTCATTGGTTAGTGTATCAATTGGCTAAAGATACATACTGCAATTTATTCCTTATCTCTCTAAACAAGTGGGAATCTATTAAATGATCTTGGTTGTAATAAAGGGAAGATTAATTTGGCATTTTTAATTCTGTATTTGGGTTTTGGCCACCTCAGGCACCTTTTAGGGTATTGAAGAAAGAGCACTGGAGTTGGAGTCAGGAGATTTCAGTCAAATTTTGGATTAACCATTTACAGTCCGACTATGGGCACAAAAAACGGCAAACATATCTTTTGTTTTCTCCCTCAAACTTGTCCTTCTCCGAGATGTTTAAATCTAAAACCTAGAATTTAAGGGCACTAGTGATTTTTCATTTTTCCTCACTCTGTACTTCACACCCCTAACAATCCATTAACAAGTCATTTTGACAAACCACATCTTGAATTTGCCTCTTTTTTTCATTGCTGTTTATTTTTTATATAGAAGCCATCTTAAAATGAAATCAGATGAGTGACTCACCCAAGCAAACCCTGCAAGGGTTTCTCAACCAAGTAAAATCCTGACCCCTTTTGGTGATCTACTAGATGCTATTTGATCTGGTCCATTCCTCCTCCTGCTGCCTTATTTCATACGCTCAACTCCTTGATCACATTGCCTCAACCTTCGTATTGGTGTTTCTGTCCTGAATTTGCTAAGTTTGTGTCCTCTGCCTAGTATGCTCTTTACTCTGTGGATCTTTTCTGTGTTCCCTGTCCTTAGACACAAATGTTACCTCCTTAAAGAGGGCCCAAGGATCCACCTAAGTAGTGCCCCCGCCCACCTCCTCTGCATGTCAACTTGTACTTTTTCTCCCCTCTCCAATGTGGCACTTGCCACTATTTGATTTTTTTCTTGTTTTCTGTCTTCCCCTCTCTGAAAGCTTCAAGAGAGTAGGGAACTTAAAGTCCTTCTTAAAATGCTGTATTCCCAGCATTAGAATAGTAGTGTCTGGCATGTAAGGCACTTACTTCAAGTTATTTGCAAAGTTTAGAGTTCTCTGTATTTGAAAGATGGGATTAATATGTAGCTCATGAGATTATCAGGATCAAATATGAGATTATTTTGTTTAAGTCACCTAGCACGATTCTTGGCACATGGCTGGTATTTAGATGTTTAGTTTACTATGATTTATTGCTGATATCTGTTCTTGCTTTGGTTTTTGGAAGGCAGGGACCACTTACATAGACATATTTCCTATAGTAACTAGTATTGTGCTTTGTATATAGACTTTCATTTTTTAAAAATTAGCTGAACTAATCAGCTTTGATACTGATTTATTTATTGTATCACATTTTGTGTGTTATTTGAGTTATTGGTGTGGATACTTGAATATATTTATAGATTGTGAACAGGAATGTATATCCACTGGTCTAACAGCCTATGTTCCCTCTTCTGTCAGTTTTTTGTATCTAGTGTTTATTTTCTTTGAACTTCAACATATCATGACTTGCAGTAAAGAGATCTGGCAGTTGAGTCTTCTTTGGATATATATAGAAATTAGCCTTTTGAAATTGTTTAGGAAAATGTTAGCTAAAATGAGCCTTGTATCACTTCTAGGAGTGAATCAGTAGTAATGACTTTCCAGGTCAGAATACAGTTTTTTATCAGTACTCCAGTTTAAAATACTGCCATTTTTTCCCTCTGGCCACTTGGGGTTTTGATATTTTAAAAACTAAACTTATATGTCCTTTAGAAATCTTTTTGTTTTGTACCCAACCTTACTTGGCTTTTTGACTTTACTACTTTTTTAGTATGTTTCCCATAATAGGTTCCGATTCCTCCTTCCTAGCCTGAACTTCAAATATCTCCCCAGTTGGAGGGCCATGGATATTTTAGGAGACACTATTCTTGATTCACCAGTTTAATGTTACTATTTCTTCTTTGTATTTCCCGTCTCATTTTATTTTTAAAATTGGATCTTGGTGAGAGTTACAGATTTCCATTTAAACTTGTTCATGAATTCTTCTGAGTGCTGGCATATATTAATCTTGTATTCTTTAGTTTCTGTTCCCCTAGTGCTTTAGACTATCCTTTGCACATACTTGATGTGAATATACACAGAGCTAAACTTTTCAGTATTGGTAACTTGAATATTTTGTGCGAAGTGTATTTACAGAGTAATGATAAATTATTTTAGGAAGAATACTTTCGATAGATAAAAGTTTCATTGCTGACTGTTCTTTTATTTGAATATACATGTATCAAGATGCTTTTAGGCACAGAATTTGAAGTTACTATGATGGCTGTTAATGTGGATTTTAAAATCAGTTTCACATGAAACTAAATTGTGTGAAAGGAAGTACCAAAGAGAATAAGTAGCAGAACATTAAACTCATATTTTAGATGTTATAAAGTAGAGCATTATGAAAATTATAGATTACATTTTTTTTTTTTTTTTGAGATGGGGTCTTGCTATGTTGCCAATGCTAGAGTGCAGTAGCTAGTCCCAGGTGTGATCACAGCGCATTGCAGAGTGCAGTAGCTAGTCCCAGGTGTGGTCACAGCGCATTGCAGCGTCAAACTCCTTCTGCTTTGGCTTCCCAAGTAACTGGAACTACTGGCTTGTGCTACCTTGCCCCTCTAACAAGATGGCATTATGTTAGCTACCTTGGAATTTTCTGATGGAATGACAACATATCATGTTTCCTAAAGCTCAAATTGCTAAAATTAGAATTCAGGTAGTTAAAAGTAAAAAGATGCTGTCAGTTTCATAATACACTACTGCATTGTGGTTTACAAAAAAGTTGAGTTTTAGGCTTTTATGGTTAAAAGTTTCCTATTTCCTGAATTAGTTTTTCCTTCCCTGAAATTGTAAGTGCATTTATTAGAGTTTATTGCAATGCCCATTATATGCATTGTAAATAATGGTTATTTAATTTAACATAAATCAATATAATGTTTTTTTTGTCTTCGCTAGGAATTTGAATTTAGAGTTTAATCTCTCAGAGCATTCTCTCCAGGAGGAATATTTACAGTATCTGAAAGACTTCACTTGACTTCTTGATCCTGCTTAAAGCCAAGGTAAAGAGCATTCATTTTTCTAGTTTTCACTTTTGACTTTTTTGAGGAAATGTCACTACTGAATTGATGATTCAGTTTTTTGTTTATTTTGGTGGCTTGTATGAAGTAAGTCAGATATTAAGTTAGTTTTAGGAAAAAGGTTCTTTTTCTGTCTTCTTCCAGGTTGTGTTCCTGCTTTTTCTATTTCTATAAACACATCTACTAAAAGACTCAGGACATACAAGATAAACTCTGCTACTTAACCCATTTTCCCTAATGTAAACAAGAGGAGATTCATAACTTGTTTCTACTGTAGTGTTTAGGTAATTCAAATTGATTGTTTCTTATGTGCTAGGTGTGTTAAGTGAATTAAGTTTATCAACTCATTAAGTCCTCTACAAGTCTGCGAAATAGGCACTGTTATTTTCTTTGTTTTACAGTTGAGGAACAGGCTCAGGGAGCTTAAGGAGTTTGAATTCATGTAGTTTAAATGCAGAGACCATGTTCTTAGCTTTTTTCCTAAGTGTATTTTTGCAGTAGAGCAGAAGATATCCATTTCTTTTAGACTGCTATTTGATAGGCAGGCTTTCTTTCCATTAGTTTTTGAAGTTTCAGGTGTAGCTATTAAAAAACAAAGCAAAACACAAACCTTTAAAAATAAACTTGCTGCTTTAAAAAATATCCAGGTTCTGGGGAATGCATTCATTTGATAGTTACTTATTAAATACCTGTTGTGCTTATGTGCCACAAGCCCAACTACATCCTGTTGACTGGAAAAGCCTACAGAATTCATGAAACCTTAACAGAAATTACCATCCAAAAAGCCTCAGGAGCCAAGAACAGAGATTCTGGAGATACAGCACAACACAGCATCTCTAGCTCTTAGTAAACTCGTAGTGTTTTATTTACGGATTAATACAATGGAAAAGAATGTTGCCTTATTGCTGGACTGGATCTCCAAAATCATTTCCAGCTCTGGTTTCTTCTTACAGTGTGTCTGATTATCTCAGAGTGGGATAAAAATAAATATCTTAAAGTAAATTTGATCGCAATGAATGTAAATTATGTATTTATATTCTTTTAAAATGTTTGGGAGGACAGAATTTTGAAATCAGATAGCACTAGAATGTCGCAGTTCCCAGTGGCCGAGATTCCTTCCTTTACAGGCTGTAAATTTGGTTTTTGCCAATTTCATGATGTTGTCAAAACTACAGTTGCTAAACCAAATTTGTGTTCTACGAGGTATCAGATCTCCCTATGTTAACGCTAAATTTCTTTCTTCTGTGTTGTGGAATTCTTATTCTGCCTTTTTGAACCCTGAACCTATGTTTTATTTCTGTCTTTATGTATTTCTTGCTCCCTTGGGATTCAGAAGAAGAGTGAGAGAAGACAAAGGTGGTAGTCTATTAGAGGATAGTTATGTTCTGTTTTGAAATCAGCATGAATTTGTTATTTATATTGTTTGATGAGGAACTATCCAGGTATTACCATTACCTCTTCTATAACTGAACTCATCTTAGTACCTTCAAATAGTATTTTATTATACTGAACAAAGTCTAGGTAGGTAAAATAAGTGCCTTCAAAAATATTTGGTTGTAGGAGATGCTATTTAAGTATTATGGGAATTGCAAGCTGTTAGAAGTTTAATAAGTTGATTTTTATTGAAATAAATACTTTTTGGTAAGTTAGTGTAAATTTGGAAATAGTTCTATGCAGCAAAAACAAGCTTGAGAGGCTAAGATATCTCAATCATTGAAAAGTTGAAAATGTGACATTTGGGATGTACATGCAGTGATTTGCTATGTATGTATATTTTTTCAATTTTGTGAGGAGTAGATCTTATAAATCAATTAGTTCTGACAGTTACTGATTTCTGTACCCATTGAGGTCTAATTATAGCATTGGATACTATGTAGTGTTTGGAAAAGTTACTACTGGTGCCCAAGTTTTTTTTCTTGTAGTTCTAATATATCTTTCTTGAAGTAATCCCTCCAATTCTTTATATTTTATTCTTCTTATATCTTCTTAACAAAGCTTCAGGGTGAACTAGTCGTCACAAAAGTCCACTTTATTCTGGAGTCATGAGTACTGAGAGCAGACCCACGGCTCCAGCTGTTCAGAAACTTTGTGTCCTGTATACTATATAGTACCACTCCAGACAGTATTGTGTATTTGGAGTGGTCAGCTCAGTCTCATTTTCAAGGCCATAAAACACAAGATAACAGCCCTAGTAGGTTTATTTTTTGTTAGTATTGTGACACTTTATTTTATTTCAGTTGCCTTATCTGTAATACCTTTATTATTTATTTATCTTTCTTACAGGAGAGGTAGGCATTTGTATTGGGCATGGAATAACACATAACATGCTGCTGCAGTCTGATCTCATTGCTCTTTCTGGCTTCTGTAGCTGCTGCCTTTTTGGATTGAGGCACCTAAGTGGGGCAGTCCATAAAAATCTTCAGTTGTGTCTTTAATCTACAGTATCTATCATGCAGGTGAAAACAGTTTTAGTCAGGGATAATTGACTTGTCTTCTGAATACTGATTTGAAAATGATGGTGAATAATAGCCTTTGAGAAACTTGTAAAAATCAAATTTTATCTGAAAATAAATAAGATAAAATTTAAAAAATCATATTGTAATTTTAACCTTTTTTTGCCCTATCATTTGATTAGGAGAAAAGAAATGGGTCGCTCCAATTCTAGATCACATTCTTCAAGGTCAAAGTCTAGATCACAGTCTAGTTCTCGATCAAGATCAAGATCTCATTCTAGAAAGAAGCGATACAGGTGATTTAATGTGCTTTAAATTTTTAAAATAATGATATCAGTTATTATTTGTTGAATGCATATCTTAAACACAGTGCTAAACCCCAAAATGTATTTTATTCTATAAGAACTCTGTGAAATGGATCTGTTGTTACCCTTATTGTAAGCAAGAAATTGAGAATGTTCAACTAACAAGCTCTAGTATGGCAGAGCTTGGATTGAAATCCAGTTAGTCTGACTCCAGGTCTCAAATTTTACTATATATGGTAGGTTTCTTTGTATTTGTCCACAATGTTAAGAGATGAATTGGGTAATGCAAGAATTTGACAGTGAAAAATCTGTGCGTATTGTTTTATAGTTTCTCATTTCCGACTTTGATTCTTTGAATTCTAACAAAATAATTCTTTTTGTTAAAAAATTAACAATTCTGGTTATTTTTCTTTAAATAGTAATACATACTTAGCATAGAAAACAGAAACCAGAAGTTGAAAATACAAATGACCATAATCCCATTATGAATTAATAGTAGTTGATGATTATTCTTTTTTTCCCCCCAGGCTTAACTTTATTTTATGTATATATTTAATTAATAGTATCTCACTGATACAGTTTTGTGTAATCTTTTCCCCCATTTAACTGTATATTATGTCATCCCATTAAATATTCTTTCACAATTATCAGTTTAAGTGCTTGCCTAGATGTACTACAATTTGCTAATATGTCCTAATGTGTGTGATATATATATAACACACGCACGTGTGTGTGTGTGTGTGTTTTGTGCCTTTACTTTTAAGGTCTTTAATGTATTCTCTCAGTAGTTACCTTAGGCTTTTTGATTAGAAACCATAAACTTTTGTACAGATGAGGTTTTTTAAAAAAGTCTGTTTTTATCTTTACCATTTATTTACATGTTATTTTCAACCAGAGTATTTAGAATGGTAAGATGGAATGCTTTATTTTTCTTGCATTGATATTTATTTCATTTTTAGTTCTAGGTCTCGTTCCAGAACATATTCAAGGTCTCGTAGTAGAGATCGTATGTATTCTAGAGATTATCGTCGTGATTACAGAAATAATAGAGGAATGAGACGACCTTACGGGTACAGAGGAAGGGGTAGAGGGTATTATCAAGGAGGAGGAGGTAGATACCATCGAGGTGGTTATAGACCTGTCTGGAATAGAAGGCACTCTAGGAGTCCTAGACGAGGTCGTTCACGTTCCAGGAGTCCAAAAAGAAGATCCGTTTCTTCTCAAAGATCCAGAAGCAGATCTCGCCGGTCATATAGATCTTCTAGGTCTCCAAGATCATCCTCTTCTCGTTCTTCATCCCCATATAGCAAATCTCCTGTTTCTAAAAGACGAGGGTCTCAGGAAAAACAAACCAAAAAAGCTGAAGGGGAACCCCAAGAAGAGAGTCCGTTGAAAAGTAAATCACAGGAGGAACCGAAAGATACATTTGAACATGACCCATCTGAATCTATCGATGAATTTAATAAGTCATCAGCCACATCCGGTGATATTTGGCCTGGCCTTTCAGCTTATGATAATAGTCCTAGATCACCCCATAGTCCTTCACCTATTGCTACACCACCTAGTCAGAGTTCATCTTGCTCTGATGCTCCCATGCTCAGTACAGTTCATTCTGCAAAAAATACTCCTTCTCAGCATTCACATTCCATTCAGCATAGTCCTGAAAGGTCTGGGTCTGGTTCTGTTGGAAATGGATCTAGTCGATACAGTCCCTCTCAGAATAGTCCAATTCATCACATCCCTTCACGAAGAAGTCCTGCAAAGACAATCGCACCACAGAATGCTCCAAGAGATGAGTCTAGGGGCCGTTCCTCATTTTATCCTGATGGTGGAGATCAGGAAACTGCAAAGACTGGGAAGTTCTTAAAAAGGTAAAAACTAAAATACAGAATCTACAGTATAATATTGTTTTTGTTCTTTGAGTTCTATTTGGAATTAAAAGATGTAAATTTGTGATACATGTTTAACTAGCGGTTTTTACTCTTGACTTCCTTCATTTTAAGATAATTCCAAATTGTTTTTACTTTTATCTGGTGAACTTTGGAAGCTAAGTGTTTTAATAAAAATTAATGTATCCAGCTACTCAGGAGGCTGAGGTGGGAGGATCTCTTGAGCCCAGGAGTTCAAGGCTTTGGTGAGCTATGATTGTGCCTACTGCACTCCAGCCTGGGCAACAGAGCAAGACCCTGTCTCTTTAAAAAGAAAAAAAAAAAAACCACTAATTTCTGTTTCTCCTCTTAATTTTACCATTTTCGGTCCAGAATTAAAAATACAGATGAGGAGAAGTTGAGTAGCTTAGAGCATAACTAAATGATACATGTTGTTAATAACTGTAAATCTTTTAGAAATTTAGTTTATTAAAGCATTGGAGGCTTATTTTGTTCTTTTCATTATTAGAATGTGACCTACATAAATAATGCAGCTATATTGCATGTTCTTAGGTGGCATAAACAGTCTGGCTGTCAATATTTAATGATTTCAGCCTGACTATACAAAAGGTAATGGTATTTCTCACTGACTAATGACATTTGGAACAGATAACATTGTTTAAAGTCTGATCTCAAGTGTTGCTGAAAGTTGCTAACAATGAAAATTGGTTGCTTCATATATTGTGATTTGACTTAAAAGTGAGAAAATAGAGGAAACATGCTGTTTGTGGAATAGCACTGCACAACCTAGAATTTATGATTGAGCTGATCATTAGTTTCTATGAAACAGTGCCAGAAATCATTATTTTTGTAGAGCAAGTAGATATGAACTGTTTTGTGATGCTCATAAAGAGTATTACTGGAATGGTATTTAAATCCATTTGTGTGAACTCTTGTTTATATTAATAGATAAGTAAGTGAAACAGTCTGAATTTTGGGGGGTAGTTATCAATAGAATTCTAACATAATGTGTATTATCCTTAGTGGTTCTTAGCTTCAAAAATTAAATTCAGGCAATCTCTAGAAGTTCATGATAGTGCAGAATTGTGGATTGTGACTAAATAGGACAGGTTTTTGGTTGGCTTTACTTTTTAAACTTCAGAAGTCAAATGTAAATTTATTTTAAAAGTTAGTACATAAGTTCTATATGGATACTTTCAATGATTTTTAAAAGTGGGATCTGAAAAAGCACTTTTCAATAGGGTTTTTTCTCTCTTGCTGGTCCTGAGGGATTGGGCAACACATTTAAATATGGAAGCGATCTACAGTGAATGCAATCCAGAGTTACTATCCTCTTCTTTGCTTATTCGCAGGTTCACAGATGAAGAGTCTAGAGTATTCCTGCTTGATAGGGGTAATACCAGGGATAAAGAGGCTTCAAAAGAGAAAGGATCAGAGAAAGGGAGGGCAGAGGGAGAATGGGAAGATCAGGAAGCTCTAGATTACTTCAGTGATAAAGAGTCTGGAAAACAAAAGTTTAATGATTCAGAAGGGGATGACACAGAGGAGACAGAGGATTATAGACAGTTCAGGAAGTCAGTCCTCGCAGATCAGGGTAAAAGTTTTGCTACTGCATCTCACCGGAATACTGAGGAGGAAGGACTCAAGTACAAGTCCAAAGTTTCACTGAAAGGCAATAGAGAAAGTGATGGATTTAGAGAAGAAAAAAATTATAAACTTAAAGAGACTGGATATGTAGTGGAAAGGCCTAGCACTACAAAAGATAAGCACAAAGAAGAAGACAAAAATTCTGAAAGAATAACAGTAAAGAAAGAAACTCAGTCACCTGAGCAGGTAAAGTCTGAAAAGCTCAAAGACCTCTTTGATTACAGTCCCCCTCTACACAAGAATCTGGATGCACGGGAAAAATCTACCTTCAGAGAGGAAAGCCCACTTAGGATCAAAATGATAGCGAGTGATTCTCATCGTCCTGAAGTCAAACTCAAAATGGCACCTGTTCCTCTTGATGATTCTAACAGGTAATTCCATATTGATCCCCAGTAAATAATCTGTGGGTAGTTAATATTCCAGTTAATTATCTTAAACTTTCTGAACATACCATTTTTTTATTTAAACCAATGGTATATTTTGTGTGTGTGTGTTATCAATATGTTCCAGACCTGCTTCCTTGACTAAAGACAGGCTGCTTGCTAGTACACTTGTCCATTCTGTCAAGAAGGAGCAAGAGTTCCGATCCATCTTTGACCACATTAAGTTGCCACAGGCCAGCAAAAGCACTTCAGAGTCATTTATTCAACACATTGTGTCCTTGGTTCATCATGTTAAAGGTATGCTTAGTATGTTTAGTATTGTGAATTAAATTTCTCTTGCATGCAAATAAAAAAATGAGTAATTATGCTTAATAATTCATGTACCCCAGGGCTAGCAAATATACATCAATGCTATTAAAACTTGGAAAAGTAGTTTCATGGAAGAGTCCCTAGTCTTGATAGCATTGAAACTTAGGAAGATAATTAATAAAAAGTGATTGAAATGCTGGAGAAACCATACCCTAAAAATCTGTATCATGGTAGAACATGATGTAGATTTGTTGAATGCTAAAAGTGTTTTTTAAGTATGTCATTGTAGTGTATTTGAAGTGCAGAAGGCTTACAGATAGTCTTTCATTGCATGCCTATGGCTTGTGATAGTAAATCTTGGCATAGATTTATAACAAAGTCAGACAGGATTATTGAATATTATTTACTAGGAATTTCTTCTCAACTTTTAAAGAAATACAAAGTGGAAAAACTTTCTTTTTTGCGCTTAATTTTTAATATATAAACTTAAAATGATAAAACAAGAAAATTTATCAGGATTTTTAGAGGAAAAACGTTCAAGAAATTTAGAAGAATATTATATAAATACTGGCTACATGAATAGTCACTAATTAGGATAATGATGACACTTCTTTAGGTCCTAAAGATAAGGGTGTTTATTTCAACTAAAGTAATGATTTTTTTTTCTTTTAAATTTTTACCAGTATGTAATTATAGTTGCAAAGTTACTAGTAATTTTCAAAGATTTTTAGGTATCTCTTTTGGGTTAGGTTAAGTTTTGTTTTTGTGTTTAAAAAGCAACTTACTATGAGACATGTTCTTTCCCAGGAACTTCAAAGACTGTTGTCCTTTAAAATTAATCCCCTCCTAGCTTTTAAAAAATTTGTCTTTTGACATGAGAACAGCTCACTGTAATAGATGAAACTTGGCTCTAGCAGTTCTTTATGCAGTTGATATATCAGAACAGTGAACAGTTAAATGAATTTCTTTTGGGCTGTAATTATTTAAACACGGTAACAAGACAGTTTTGCTATTTGGCTCTAAGTAGGTTTGTGAACCAGTTTATGACCATATTACTGTGGTACATAAAATATGAAACATTCTTTTTTTAAATTTTTTAATCTTTTTTGGCCTATCTCCACATTTTACAATTTATTGCTGAATTTTGAGATCAGGTTTTGATAAATTTTTTCCTTTTTCTTTTTTCTTTTTTTTTTTTAAAAAAAACTGTAGTGATGTTTCATAATTGGTATTGTGCAACCGATCTGAACAGCTCTTACTTTATATAGAGCTGAAAATGCCCAGTGATGTTTTCTTTTTCATTGTAACTAGGTCCTGGAATATGTTTTGAAATGGCAAAATCCATGTTTCAAAGTAAAATAGCTGTTGAAAGATACAGGCAAAGTTGAATCTTCTGTCTTCCTGGCAAAAATGGCATAAAAACTGAGTTGCTAGCTCAAATTCCTGGGTTTCATGGAATTATGATTGAGGCACTACCCTTGTAGTGGCCGTTTCAAGTTTTAATGATTGGTTATGAGACATGTGCTGGATATTGGGCGGTAAGTTGACACAGATGTATGTTGACCTGTTAAGCAGATAGCTTGCTTCATAATGTGACATTTCATAGCTCATGACTTTATACGTCTTTCTATTTTACATTTACAACATATCTTTTTAACTGGTTTTTAAAATAATCAGTATTGATATTACTAGTTTGAAAATTGTTTAAAGAGAGACAAAACAGCAATATCAAATGTGCTGTTGGGTTTGCCAAGATGCCAGATTTTTGGATAATTATTGAATGTTAGTTGATTTAAAAATATTTTTCCAATTTCAATGATAGTATTCAGTGTTTTTATAAATCCATTTTTGTTGATATGGCAGCATAGTCACTGATGAAATTTAATAGTTTACTCAAACTAGCTTTTTGGTTAACTCCATATTTTCCTGTTAATTTTTGTTTTCTGCAAATGATTACTTGAAGTAACGTCATTGGTTCATATTGGCAAGGTATTAGAACATCCATAGATTGTGTTCCTTTTTATTCTGAGGAAGTAGTGTATTAATGAAGTAGAATTAGAGACTCTTGATTTAATCTATTAATTGCTCTTGGATTAGATGTAGTATTGACAGGGACCTGTGAGCAACTTTTGAAGCACTTTCCTGTTGAGGTACAAGAAATTGAAAGGGTAGGAGTTCCTTGTAACACTTGATTCTCTTTTGCTAGGTTTCTTGAGTATTTTTATTTTCTTTTCACCTGCTACATGCCCTTCTGTCACAAACAAATCTCTCTTAAAGTAAACTAAACTAATTGGACAGTATTTCTTCTAAATCAACAGAGCAATACTTCAAGTCAGCTGCAATGACCCTAAACGAGCGGTTCACTTCGTATCAGAAAGCCACTGAAGAACATAGTACTCGGCAAAAGAGCCCTGAAATACACAGGTGTGTATCCTGCTGAATTGACATATAAAAACGTTGTTTTGGTAGGAAGACTCTGTTAAAACAATATTGTATTGGAAGTTTGCTTTTGTCATTGATACAAATTTGGTTTTATTCCTCATTTATGCTTTAAATATATTTCTAAGTCTTGAAAATTCTATAATTCTCAATTTTCAGCTTAGTTGAAACTGGTTGTTAGAACTTGAAATACTAACTCTTACTTCTCTGCAGTATGGAATTAAATAGTTATCAGTTAGTCTGGTTTTTGGGAGGGGCAGTGAAGGCCTAGAGTAACCTTTGAATTTCTAGTAAGTTTGTGAAATAAAAAATGTTCCATGAGAGAGAGAGAACAAAAGCATGAGCACTGAAGTCAGATAGTTGTGTTGAATTCCTGGCTGTGTCTCTTCATTGCATTGTGATGAACAACTTAATCCCTGGACATCAATTTTTTCATATATGAAATGTGGATAATCATGCCCATTTTGCAGGGTGGCAGTGACAGTGATACTGGCTATGAAGTATCTGACTTGGTACTTCATACACAGTTGGTGTGGTTTTGGTGATGACTGCTAAAGCAGCACTGGGTAGTTGCAACTGATACTGACTTAAAAAGGAAAGGCGCAGAATAAAACCAAAGGGGCACTGAATATCTAAAAATATTGAAGACAGGAGCAAATAATCCTATTCATGTGTGTTTGTTGATGTTTAAAATGATACCCAGTTTAATCAAAACACATTTTTTCTATTTTTGGTCAATAAGTTGGATGTTTTAAAGGCCAGACTTCTATATAAAAATATCTGGTTGGAGCATTTTAATTCATTCTTCGTGGATATTTTTTCTTAATTATGTATTAGTAAATTAATAGTCTTGGTGTGCTCAATTAGTTGATTGGGAGAGAAATAACTGTCTTAGGAAAATGGGTAATCGTGTGGATGTTTTCAAACCAAAAAGTTAGTAATATGACTAAAAATATACTTTATTTTACATTAAGGAGAATTGACATCTCACCAAGTACCTTGAGGAAGCATACCCGTTTAGCAGGGGAAGAGAGAGTTTTTAAAGAAGAAAATCAGAAGGTATGTTTTTGAATGTAATTTTTTTCATGTTAAGTTCAGCTTAGTTAATGATATTGTACCAAATATAGTTTCTCAAGGTAAATGTCTATAGATATCTTCTACTTTTAATTCATAACTACATCATGGTAGTATGCATACTGTTCCTTCCTGGAAGAAATTAAGCTGACACTATGGTATCTTAAATTTAAACCAGGAGTATTTTTTCAAAACGCTAATGAAAGGAAAAAAAATAGTCCTAAGAAAACCGTAAAGAATCAGTGGGTAGACAAAGGAAAATTATAAAATCAAAGAAGAATTTTGAGATGAGATTCATTAGCGAGAGTAAATATTTCTCGATTTGTGTGTCTAAATTTAATATCTCTAGGTTCTTCACAGATAATAAGAAGTAATCCCCATGCTACTGGGCATTTTTGATGTGGATTAAGAAATAAGCATTCTAAGTACTGATTTACAAAAAACGTTTGGAGCAAAGACTTATCACTCTTGGAATATTTGGGGAATGGGGGAATGTCTTTTAAACATGAGAAAGGAGCCTGTGAAAGACATTGAGGGGTCTTGGTGAGAATGGAATTCAGTGGTTAAGGGGTCTCCAATATACTCTGACAATTCAAAATGACCTTTGCCAGGTAGACTAATCTATATCAGGCCATAAAATGTCTAGTAGTAGAAATGTGGGGAAAGATAGGGAACAACTGTTTTGAAGAGATTAGGGGACTTGGAAGTACTGCTTGATTCCAATTCTGGCTGTCACTAAGTACTATCTACATGATAATTGGAAAATAACCTCTTGAACTTTGCTTTTCTAATTAGAAAAACGAGAATGCTTCTGTTTTGCAGAGTTGTTGAATAATTGGGTTATTTTGAAAACAGGCACATTTGTTACTAGAAGCTATTATGGACAGTGGTAGTGTACAAGTTTAATAGGGCATGCTATTACTAGATGTGGAATCTAGAGCTTACAAATAAGGTGTTTGTTTTGTTTTGTTTTGTTTTGTTTTGCATGGGGTGTATTGATCTTGAAAGAACAGATTCTGAGAAGTGAATGCTTTTTTTGGTTTTTAACTTAAATAACACCTTGGGTTCAAAGTTGTTAATTTAGTTTTCCCAACAGTTTAGTCTGTCCTCATGCTCTGACAGTGAGTATCTTCTCTCCTCATTACTTAGACCAGATTTTGATCCAGAGGAGAAAAAGTAGAGATAACTGATGAATAGATAAGAGGATATGCCATTGGTTTTTATCTTCCTGTCTGGATGAATAACATGTTAATATGTAATTATGTATATATAGTTTGTAATTTGCAAAGTGGTTTCACTTATATTATCTTGTTACTTGTGGACTTGGTAATACGTAGGTGAATAGGAAGGTTTTTTTGCTCTTGATCAGATTTTTTTCTTTGTGACTTTGGGAGCAAATAGGTGAGTAGTTGATACCATTTGGAGATACGTACTTTCAGTTTTATGAATGCTTATGAATATTATAGCCAGACTTCCCAGAGTAAATACTACTTATTGTTGAATACTAGCAAGGATGTCCACATTGCTTAGCATCTTACTGATGTATAATTTCTCTTCATTCCTAGATGCCTCTTTCCATCTTCCTAAATTATATAGTATTTGAAAAAGCAATGGAACAAGAAGGAGGTGAATTGTGACCCAGTTAAACTAATGTCCGTTGCAATACCTGAATTGAGAAAGGGCAGTATATGGCCCAAGATACTGAGTACAGGATTGCGAATATCTTTCTGGCTTTGTTTCTACCCTTGTTCAACCTCAATTGGTTTCATTAATCATATTTTATGTGCATGTTATGGAAATTATAGAATTCTTTTGAAGTTTTTTTTTTATTGGGTTGGTCAGATTATTTGGGAAGAGCTTGATCATAATGAGGCTTAAGTAATGAGAACCATTATGTTAGGATCTCTCTTTTTTAGGTAGAAGGCTACATCACAACTACAGATTATAACATCTGTATTCAACTATTGAAAACAGCATTTGGAAGGATGAGGGATAATAGGATATGCTGAGTGGAAAAAATATTTGTATCATTTACTGTACAAAAATTTATTATAGATTGTTTTGGATAAAAACCTGCAAAATTCTCAAGATACTTAGCTTTTAATAATTTCCCCAGTTCCACTGCACTTTGTATACCCAAATGTTTAGTAAAAATAATCAAGTACTTTTTAACAAAAACTAAGTGATAGTATCTTATATGATTCATTATTTTCTGATACTAAAATGCCAGTTTAGAAGCTGGCATAAAATTTAACTCTATAATATGTGTATATATATTTTTTTCTATTTCTCCCCTGAAATCTGTATTTTACGTCTGTCTTTTATAGGGAGATAAAAAATTAAGGTGTGACTCTGCTGACCTTCGGCATGACATTGATCGCCGTAGAAAAGAAAGAAGTAAAGAACGGGGAGATTCCAAGGGCTCCAGGGAATCCAGTGGATCAAGAAAGCAGGAAAAAACTCCAAAAGATTACAAGGAATACAAATCTTACAAAGATGACAGGTAATTGTTCAAACTGACTAAGATAGGTTTTAGCTTCTAATTAGCCTTTAATAATTGTCAGCTTAATTGCTTTCAATTTTGACTGTGTAATCGAATGTTTAAATTTAAACAATTAAAATTATTTGTTTTACAGCAAAAATGTATTTGTCTTTTACACGGCTTATGGTGGATGAGGACAAAAACTTTGGAATAGCAAGCTAACACTGAAAAAAAAAATGACAAATTAATGTGTCCTATTATCCAGGCTACATCAGGAGGTTGGACTTCAATGCAGTGCATTTCTAGAAACAGTTTGTGTAAGAACTTTGGTTCGTTATGCTTGATTCCGCACTTTTTCAACTCATAACACCCAGAGTACAAGAATTTTAAACTGATATCTAGTGGTTTAACATGGGAGAGATGGGGGGGAGGAAGGACTAGAAATAGCAATGTGTATTAGTCTTTCAAAATAATTATTTCCATGGAAACTGTTAGCAGTGGTAAGAGTTAACCACAGGTATGACCTTTTCGGGTGTTGCATTAAATCATGTAAATTTGATCATCATAGAGGCAAATAGGAACACAAAGTATTATAGATAATCTTTTTCCTTGCTATTCATTAGGTAAATGGTGGATTTTATTTGTGTTATTAAATTTATGGCTGTTATTTGTAATGTCATATGCTTTTTATTTGCTATAATGGTACTATAGCCCAAACTATACCAACTATTTTCACCCAGAGTGTGCAAACTGCAGTCATTTTGAAACTTGGCCTTAAGAACATCCTTACTTTTTCCTACTCTTCTCTTCCTTTCGTTAAAGTAATAAAAGATATAAGTTAATTTAAAAATACTAAAGAACTGAACCTTATTCTTGACCTTTACAGACTACTATTTTCTAACTGGCAGGCCCTAGCATGTTTTTCATTATTGATGTAAAACACATATTGAAGGAGAATGGAAACAGATTGTGTCAAAATTTAACACCCAATTATTTTATTTACATAATTTTATTAGGGGATAGTGTTTTTGACTTGAAAAATATCTCTTCTATTGTAAGATTCAGCAGGGTCTTTATCTTTTTAAAAGTAGCACATTTTTTGTTTTCTTTATTTTGCAGTAAACATAAAAGTAGAGAGCAAGATCATTCTCGATCTTCATCCTCTTCAGCATCACCTTCTTCTCCCAGTTCTCGAGAAGAAAAGGAGAGTAAGAAGGAAAGAGAAGAAGAATTTAAAACCCACCATGAAATGAAAGAATACTCAGGCTTTGCAGGAGTTAGCCGACCACGAGGAACCTTTGTAAGTGAAAAAATTATCTTTGATTGTTTGGTAGGAGTTTATCTTAGAGTAATGTACATAAGGAAGGTCATATACATGACTTAGAGATGTTATGTGTGTCATTATTCCTAAAGTCAGAGGTAGTATTGAAACATGAAGTGGTGTTTGAAGTGCTGTCTTCATTTAGAAATACCATTTTGAGATCTAGAAGCATCTGTATAAACTAGGTACTTTTCTTGACTTCGAGATCAATAACTGTACCTAGTCCTTAAAGACCAAGAGTCAAGGAAAGTTACTGATTGGTAATAACATTTCTTTAATCACTTAGTTTTTGAAAAAGTACCTTAACGCCTTAATAAAACCCCTGTATGTTCATCTCTGTATTACAGTTACATTCATTTTGCCTGCTTTCTTCAAATCCTTGCTTATATGGGTATCAATCATAGAAATCAGAAATATTTCATATAGCGTGTACATTATCCCCATGTTTCCGTAAGTCGTTATAATTATTAATATAATGACTTTATGGTAGTGCATCTTCTTGCCTCTTTAATTTCTAGATTCACACTCCTACCTTGAGCGAGTTATCTAGTTGGGTTTTGGTGGAGTTCATTAATTAGATAATTTGGGAAAGAGAAGAGCTTTGCTTATATAGTGTTAGGTATGGCTGAATACTTGGGGCTTCTACGGTAATTCAAAGAAATTAGATAACTTTTGGCTAGTAAAAAGGAAAAACAGCTTGATTATTTAAAAATATTAGTTCAGGCCGGGCGCGGTGGCTCATGCCTGTAATCCCAGCACTTTGGGAGGCCGAGGCGGGTGGATCATGAGTTCAGGAGGTCAAGACCATCCTGGCTAACACGGTGAAACCCTGTCTCTACTAAAAATACAAAAAATTAACCGGGCGTGGTGACGGGCGCCTGTAGTCCCAGCTACTCGGGAGGCTGAGGCAGGAGAATTGGCGTGAACCTGAGAGGCAGAGCTTGCAGTGAGCCGAGATTGTGCCACTGCACTCCAGACTGGGAGAAAGAGCGAGACTGTCTCAAAAAAATAAAAAAATTAGTTCAGTCCTTGAAAGTACAGTATTCTAACACTTAGGTTGATCATTTCTTCTTAACCTACTCAACTTTTAGTTGGCAGAATTTTTTGCCTATGATATAAAATGGCCATCCTTTTCATCCTCAATGGCTACGAGATTTAGATAGGAAATTAGGGCGTATGTTTTTTGTTACTGCAGTAAAATTAGAGTTTGCATGTAACTAAATACCTTTTGATTGCATCACTAAACAACTTTGTTAATGTTAATCAGTTTCGAATTAGAGGCAGAGGAAGAGCCAGAGGAGTTTTTGCTGGGACAAATACTGGTCCAAACAACTCAAATACTACTTTTCAAAAGAGACCGAAGGAAGAGGAATGGGATCCAGAATATACCCCAAAGAGCAAGAAGTACTTCTTGGTGGGTGTTAGACATCTGTGTTTATTTGGTTTGCATTAATTTTCAAAGCATACTAGGTGAATACATTTGAGTACAGATAACCACTATTATAAGAAGATTCACCGTTATGTGGGAAACCTTTTTTAAAATAATTACCCAGATGATTTGAAATTTTGAAAAATGTGGGTCCCTTTAGTCCTGTTCATACTTTCTTGATATTAAACATAGGCTGATCAGGGTAAGCGAAAAATATACCTGATTTGTTACCCACATTCAGAGAAGAACATTATATTATAGTTGAGCTTAATGTTTGTTTTATATCTGTCTATAAGACAGTGACAGTTGTAGAAACTTCACATTAAGATGTACCTTCCATCATCATAGCTATTTGTTTAAATGAAAAGGAGAAGAATTTTTTCAAAGTACGTGTAATGAAGAATTTTAGGGAGGCTGTCAGCTTTCATTGGTGAAAAAAGATGATGAAAAATTAGAGAAAAGTTGCTGCTAGGTAAACTAATTTGGTGCTTCCTGTGGTAGAGGTGCTTTTCCCTCTGAAATAGTTTTTCAAGGATGAAGCTAGAGGTGATAGGTCTTGAAGGATTCTCTAGATAAGGATGGGCATTTTCTGCTGTTTGGCATGGGGAAAAGGGTCCCTGCTGCATTATAGAGGTGTACGAGAATATACCAAAACTATTACCAGAAGTATTCATTTTTTTTATCATGGCTTTTCAGAGAATTTATGTTTCAGAGACTAGTTCTGAAAACTAGTTGCTTCCATGGAAGAAAATTGTATTGGACTTGAAGAGTTGTTGACTTTTTCAGTTGGCTTTTTATGAATATATTTGAATAAACCTCAATGTCCATGACATACCTACTTAGAGATTATAGCTGTAGTTCAAAGTGGATCTCTGTTTTGTCTGGAAAAACAATATATTTGTTTCAAAAATATATTTCCATTTGCCTCTTTTTTGGCATGTTAATGACCAAGAACCAAAAAAAAAGTTACAGAGTGCGTTATGCATAATGTTTTCTCAGTTTATGCTTCTTGAGTGGCTTGAATTGACATTCTGGAAAGTAAAAGGCATTTGATACGTAGAAAAATGTGAAAGATCCATCTACTTCTTGGTTCAATCATTTATGTATTAACAGACATGTTTATGGTAGGTACTAAGGATGGAAAGACAAGTAGGATTATGTTTATGCTAGGTACTAAGGATGGAAAGACAAGTAGGATGTGATTCCAATTTTTGACTTAGAGACTAGTAGTAGAGAAACAAACATTCTAAATATATATGGTGGCTTTTTGCTTTTCCCAAAGAAGGAATAGGTGGATTTTTGCAAAGGGAGAGAGTGATTAGAAGAGACTTTTGTAGAGGAACTTGACCTTAATTAATCTTGAGGTTAAGAGGTAGGCAAGTGTACTGCACATAGCAGAAGGAGTGAAACAGCATGGTATAGAGAACTATAGTATTCAGATGGCTAGATGGTTGGTATAAGTTTGGGAAAATTGAGTACAAGGAGTCACAGTGTCAAAGGTCTTAAAACTTTTAAGAAAATAGAGTTTTAAGCAGAGTTTACATAAATCATGGGTGTTAAAAGTTAAGCAATTTGAGAAAATATAGTGTCTGAACTAAGGGGCTAGATTTGAGAAAAAGTAACATTTATGGGGACTTGAATTCAGGGATGTTGGTAGTGAGAGGAAGGAATCTAAATCTATAGGAAAGAAGCTGCTTTAAAAAGATTAAGTTCTGTTCTGAACAGGTTGAATTTGAAGTTCTTGGGAGAAATGGAGCTGTCCAGTGGATAGTTGGTAATTCAAATTTAGAGAAACAAAAAAAAGTGCTGTAATTTTATAGGTCACCGTTAAAGCTGTGGTAAGATCACAGAAGAGAAGAGATAAAGACCAACATATCAAAGGTGGGGTGAAAAGTGAGAGAGAGTAAAAATGCCAGAGAAGTAGACCAGGTATGATAGGTCAGGAGGTGAAGAAGGAATGAGAGGTGAACATGTAGATAGTAATTGTTTGCCACTTTTAACAACTTACAAATACAAAATTTAGGCCTTTTTTTCTATGGCATTCTCTTAAGAATCTGCTATCCCTTAAAAAATACATACTCATTTTGGGTTGGCATTTAATTAGGCAGTAGTTTCATTAAGAAGAGTGTCTTATTTTAGGAATTTAGCCATATATAAGTAGCAGTAGTATTTTTATATGTTGCTTTGCTGGGTTTTATTTAAAAATCTTGGTCTCTGTATAAAACCGTACACATTGATTTGCCACAGACTGATCATGTTCACTAGAATATCAAGCAAAATTACACACTGTTTCCTTATAAATCAATTCCCAAAGTTAATTATTTTGGTTTTTACTTAATTATGAGCCATTGAAATGGCAACTTTGGTTTTCACATGGATAGTTAAATTAAAAAATTTTGTATCTTACATGTAAAGGAATGTTGAGGGAAAAAAAGAAAAATACGATTCAGAAGGAAAGTCTTCTAAAACTAGACATTCATTCCCTTAGGTTCTTTCAGAACAATTGACCAGTTTAAGAGAGTTTGCCCATTTGGATGAAACATTAATACTTAGTAATAACAGGCCAGGCACGGTGGTTCATGCCTGTAATCCCAGCACTTTGGGACACCGAGACAGGCAGATCACGAGGTCAGGAGTTCAAGACCAGCCTGGCCAACATGTGGAAACCCTGTCTCTCCTAAAAATACAAAAATTAGCCGAGCGTGGTGGCGCGTTGCCTATAGTCCCAGCTACTCAGGAGGCTGAGGCAGGAGAATCGCTTGAACCCAAGAGGCGGAGGTTGCAGTGAGCCAAGATTGTGCCACTATACTCCAGCCTGGGAGACAGCGAGAATCTGTCTCAAAAAAACAAAACAAAGCTTAGTAATAATAGATAACATTTATTAAGCATTATGTACCATGCTCGGTGCTGTTGTGAGTATTCCGTACGTATTAATACTTTAAAAAGCCTTTTGAGTTGGGGCTGTTATTCCATTTTTGTGGATGGAAAAAACTGAGGTACAGAGGTTGAGTAGCTTAACCAGAGTTATGTGGCTAGTAGCAGTGGGGTCAGGACTTAACTCATTGGGCTCCAGAGTCAGGGTTCTGAAAGGTCTTGTTTGTACTATTTGTTGTCCAATACTGAGTTATAGTAATCTTTGTTGCATTCTTTTTGAAATTTCCTATCTCTAAGATTTGTTTTATGCAAAGGTGTGATAATGTTTTCAATAATAAAAATTCCAGGAAAGATACTAGTTTTAGTTAGAACCTGAAATTCTATGGAGTGATGAGTGTGAAGAGTTGGAGCAAGTGGGAAAGTACTGAAGGTTCTCAGTGTTGAGTTGCTGCCTTCAAAGGAAGAGAAAATCCCTGGTGGGGAAGGGGGTTCAGGATTGGAGTTTTGGTAATTAACTGTTTGAAACTTGATCCTTGTATAGAGAAGAGAGAAGATGATTCAGAAGGTCTTGGTTCTAATACAGACTCCTTTGTTAACATGTTCTTAGCTGTGTATAAATATCTAACTTCTGGCCCATCTTAATCTGAGATAATTAAAATTTAAAAATTTTAATAATGAGATTGAAATCTTCGATATAAAACTTGAGTATTAAGAATATGTTTAGCATCAAAAATCTCAATTAAGTAGCTGCCAGGATACCCTACGAAAGACACAGTCATTGTTTAGGTGCTGTTGTGTTTGCCAAGTTTCAGATGATTGTATATTAAAAGCAATGGCTAATTTAACCCCAGTGTTTAGCTTTGCCATTGGCTTTTCTGTTTCTGCTAACTCTTAACTACCTGGTGTGGTAATCATATATTGCCACCAGGGTATCTGGGAAATGTGTTTTATGGGTGATGGTCACAAGGGTTAGAAGAAAGGGCTAGCTCTGTGACCTTGGGCAAGTTACTTAATTTCTTTGTGCCTCAGTTTATTTCTAAAATGGGGATAGTAACAGTATTTTAGAGGGTTGTTGTGAGGATTAGATGAATAAGTACATGTAAAGTGTTCAGAACAGGGCCAGACCCATATTACACACTATAGAAACATTATTGCCACCGTTTGTTGAGTGCTTGCTTGTCAGACACTGGGCCAGGCACTTTCTACTGATCTGTGTTCCCTCAAGGAACATATTATTAAAATGAAGTAAATTCTAGAGAGGTTGCCCAAAGTCACACAGTTTGTGGTGATTTAAATCCGTGCTTGTACTCCAAAACCTCTTCCCAGAATCCATGGCGTATTGTGTAAATATCATAAAAAAGCTCTCAAGAGTTGGGTATGTTAATGTGATAAGGGAGCATGAAATTATGTAGTCAAGTGGGCATTATTTTTAGTGGCAGGCTGTTTTAAAGTAGTTTATTTTGGGTTTGCAATAAACTGCTGTATTTAAATTTGCACTTTTGATAGTTCCAAGATTCATTATAGAGTCATGTACACCTCTACCTAGTAATCTTTGAATGGTTTGATAAAGATAGATTATTAGCAGTTGGTAAGTTCTCTTTCATATAGCCTGTTAGTTACCCATATAATTGAACTTTTCAAGTCATGAAGGGGGTTAATCAGTTAAATGAATACGTCCAAAGGCAAAGTCTTCTGTTTTGGGGGAAAAAAACTCATATCACATATTACGTAAAAAAAGTTTTAGTGGCTTTTGGATGATTGCTCACTACTAGTACTCTATAGATTACACAACATTTTGTTTGCATTATACCGCTTTTCTCATACAGGGGCATTTTGCTTTATTTCTCATTTTTGTGGGTGACAAAGTTAGTAAGTTAGCAGTTAATTAAATTACATACAGGACTCCCTTGGCCTTTTGTATGAATATAATACCCATCTCTACTCATCTACAAAGTCTAGTACTTTTCAGTTTTGCAGATTGTTTTGCTTAATAGAACAATTCGTAATTTAGGGAACATCTGTATTTGAATATAATTAATAATTAAAGCTGGGATGTGATAACTGCAGTACTTTAGATTGATGAAGAAGAACTGAGTGAGGTGTTAATTCTAGGGACCATGTCATGATTTACCGTTGAAATTCTCTAACCCAGAACATTGATATGTACTATATATTGATCTAGATTTCAATCTCAGTATATTTAAAATCTACTTTTATATGTAAAGTATAAAATTCATACCACCAGTTTCATTTTAGTGAACGTTAGTGATATTTTTATGACTTTCTGCCGCATATTTATAACATGGTTAGAAATAACCAGAAAAACTGGTTATTTTATCTCATTGCATTTGGTGTAATAAGTGGACTTGGATTGACATAATACGAAAACAAAACTGAGAATTCTAAAAATCAGTGGTAATTTAGCAGTTGAGATTCTCCAAATGATTGGGTAACCCTCAGTGCTTGGGTTGCTAAGTAGTAAGATGTGGTTATTCTCTTGACGATGGAATATATTTTTGTTGAAAAATGCAGTTTTACTGGTTTTTAGAATATTACCAATCTCATATATCCAATCTTCAGAAGATTAATACTGTGGTTTATGATTGGAGAAATGATCTTTACAAGAAACATTTCATTGACAATTGTTTTTAACCTTTCTGTAGCATGACGACAGAGATGATGGTGTGGATTATTGGGCCAAAAGAGGAAGAGGTCGTGGTACTTTTCAACGTGGCAGAGGGCGCTTTAACTTCAAAAAATCAGGTAGCAGTCCTAAATGGACTCATGACAAATACCAAGGGGATGGGATTGTTGAAGATGAAGAAGAGACCATGGAAAATAATGAAGAAAAGAAGGACAGACGCAAGGAGGAAAAGGTATAAAATTTCACCTTGTGATTCTGACAGATTTTTTTTGATACAGGTTTGGTGGGTGAATTAGTTATTTCATTTTTAGGAACAATTATTAATATGGTTCCTTTTCACTCTCCACATCTTGTGTTAATCTTTAATTTTTTTTCTCTTTTTTAGGAATAATAAATAATGAAGTAAGATTACAGCAGAGCAGAACTTGCACCCACCATTTTTTTACCTGATTTTTGTTTTCAAATAAGAATGTAAGCATTTTACTTAAATTTTACTGTTTGCAAGTAGTCTATAGAAATTTTGTTTTAAGTTTTCAAATATCTTGAGAAATAGTAGACTGTATGTTGAAAATTGTACTGAAATAAAGTAGAAAATTGTTACGTACCATATTTGTAACTATCAACTTTTAAAAAAAACTTTTAACGTTTTTGTTACATGCATTGTAATTCTGCTTTGTCTATAAGATACGGTCAAGTACAGCTCTGTGAAAGTTCTGATTCTCTTCCTTCCCTGTTTGTCAATGTTTTATTCTGAAGTAAACGTTAGCTCTACATATAAATCCTGGAACAGAAATTGTTTATAGAGATTACACTAATTATTTTAACTGTATACATCTGTTTAATTTGAACACACTACATTGTAGGGTGACTAATTTTTGAAGTATACCACAGACAAAAGGTTGTTACTTTGGTAAACTAAGCTAGTTTAACACTTGAGCAAATGCTTAAGAAGGAGTAAAAAAAAAAAAAAAAAAGCTTTGCCAATAGCTAAAAAGTACAAGCTATTAAAAATTAGACTGAAAAGTTTTGAGAAAATGTTATTTTTACTGAAAGCAAGCAGTGGCCTATAAAGAACATTCTTAGGAGCCTTTTCTATTTGCGTTCAAAACCGAGTGTTCTCTTTCTATTCCTATTTGATAGTTTGAGTCATGGTCTTAGATATTAGCTATTTGTGAGAGGAAACTGGTTTGTAATAATACTGCAAATAGAAACCCCATTTCTACTGAACATCCTAGTTTTAAACAGAAGAAAAACTGTAATCCTGGGGTTGGTATGGAGGAGGTTTATCCTGCAGAATAAGTTGATACATTAGTACCTGATTTCATATCTTACATATTTATTTGAGCTGAACATTAGTTTGTAGTGTAACTATTAGTAAAAATAGAGAAACACAACATACTGTTCATTAATAGTATTTTAAGAAAATTGTTTTTCAAATGTCACCAATAAAAGTTTTGGCAGGAAGCTTGTTGCTGCATTGATCTAACTTGTTTCTCCCCCCCCCGACCTCCCCCCTTTTCAGTTGCAGTTTGTAAAATGGCTTTTTCTTTTTTCTCTTAAGGGTTCTATTCTTCAGGTAGATAATTTTTCAAATGTGAATTATCTTTTGTGTCTATATATTGATAGCTCTTAAAGGAGTGAAAATCTAAAATATTAAATTTCAGTGTTAAGTCTATTTGCTTTATGGGCATATATAAAAGTAGACACATTTCATTTGTTAATTTAGTTGTGTGTGTTAAAAGGAGCTAATGCTTATTCTGTTAATGTAAACTTTTGAAGATCTTAAGTGTATTGCTCTTTCATCTTAAAACATTTTCGAGGATTTGCAATGCGTCTAGCACCTCGGTTACAGCCAGGGACGTTGGTTAAGAGCTGTTGGAAACAAAACTAAAAGCATACTCAACATATGTGATGTTTATGGCCCTCAGATCCTTAGTATTGTGATTTTTTCCCCCCCCTTAACATGTCTTTCTGAAATTGTCTATTAAAGCAGAGGAAATACCTGCCAAAGGAAGTATGTATTGCATTAATCAGGACATAACTGATATTTTCCTGTTCAGAATAATACGTGTGAAAGCAACATGGATGTGATCCCCAACACAGAATTTTCATGACCCTTTTATTGTATACAAATAAATACATAACAGTTACTTGGTTAGACATCAAATCTGTGTGCATGACTATGTGCTTATCCACTTAAGACAATAGATAAAAGGGGATTTGAGAAATTATTTAATAGGGAGTGGAAATAAAGCTACTTAATTCCTGTGGGCAGGTTATATTTTAAGTTCAAATGCACTGCTTTAACCTTTGGTTACTTTTATTCTATTAAACAAAATTGAGGAAAGAGTGTTATACCAGAATATAGTAGGCTAGGGTGATGGTAAGAACTCTGTAATAGAATGTCATTATGGATGTTATCTTTTTCAGATCAAGCATATAAAAAGTAGCCTGTATATTTTTTTAAAACACATCTTAACTCCACACTTTACGACATTATAAAAGTTGAATGGTTCCTCTTGGCAAGGATATTTGCTTACAAATGCTAGGAAATAACTCATTGATACCTGCGTTAACATATTTTGCCTAGAGAAGGGCAATAAAAACTGAACCAAAGGATATTTCCAGAAAGGATTAAGAAAGCTGTTTAAGAAGGCCATGACTCTTTAGGTGTGTATGTGTACCTTTCAGCATCCTAGGAATTTTTATATTAAAAGCAAAACGTTTTTCCAATTACAGTCTACTTCAAGGAATTACTATTCTTCCTTTTGTCACAGGTAAAATCAGTGTCGGGAATTATAATTTGAGAAAAATATTACCCAGTAAGTAACATTGAATGTAGATGGCTAAACGATTCTTACTCAGTGTGATGTATAATGCAACAGGGACCCTTGTAAATTGTCATACGCCAATAAAATGTCACAAGTAATAACCGCTGTTGTTTGTTTACCTGTGTCTGTTTCACACAACTTATTTCTATGGCCTATTTTAGAATACTAGCACATCTGTTAGGAAGATTACTGGTGTGGTAAGGCTTGATAAATGCTTTATAAAATCCCTCAAACCTCTCTTTACTGTTTTTGTGTTTTGTTTTGTTTTTGTTTTTGTTTCCCTTGTCTCCCCTGGGAAAGTGGGAAATTTTACAGTTGGTAAATCTAAGCCATTATTTTGAAATATAGGAATTCTGGATTTCTAGTTTGTCCTCTTTTTCTTATGTTAATCTGGGACCTTACACCCATAATAATATGGTGATTACTTCTCTTTCTAAAAATGCAGTAGCTAGTGAATAACTAAAAAGAATGGTCTTTTCATTCACTTTGAGTAAGATCTGGTATAATTCTTACCATGTGCTATCCTGTCACTTTTAACAAAGCATTTTCATAGAAGTTTGTGTGCTATGACAAACTGACACATTTTGACTCATGCAAATGGCAAATTAGTCCTTAAAAATTCTGTGAGAGAAATAAGAACACTGTGTGTACATATATATGCTTGTAAAGGGTTGTGTAAGATCATTGGTAGCTTAGTTATACTGGATAATTGTAATGTTATATACAAATTTCTTATATAAGTATGCTGCATTATTAAGGACATTTATTAAACTTACTTTTTCTGGGTTTCAACTGGAATCCCTTTGGTGGGGATGTACCTATAGTTTCCTTGTGGAATAATACACTGTCACATCCAGAAAGAGAAGTACAGAGGCCTTCCTCAGTTTACAAAGTTGAAGGGGAAGGCAAATGGAGAAATAAACTTGATTGTCATTGGGATTAATTTGGCTAGACTCAATCTCTTGAGCCTTAATATGAGAAAGTAATATCCATTATATGTTTAGAGTTCTCAAATAGTTGATACTATTGTTAAATCTGTTTCAAATTTTATTGGGGTAGATACTAAAAATTAGTACACTGTCCTAATGAAGTTTAAATGAACAAGTTTTACATTTCTTAGGATTCGGGAATATATGGAATCTAGTTGTATTTAATTGAGAGCCACAGAGATTGTTGATTTATGAGTTTGACTCCTATTGTTTTAGAAACAATTTTGTGACGGAGTCTTGCTCTGTCACCAGGCTCGAGTGCGGTGGCGCAATCTTGGCTCACTGCAAGCTCCACCTCCTGGGTTCAAGTGATTCTCCTGCCTCAGCCTCCCAAATAGCTGGGACTACAGGCGCCCGCCACCACGCCCCAGGCTAATTTTTTGTATTTTTAGTAGAGACAGGGTTTCACCACGTTGGCCAGGATGGTCTGGATCTCTTGACCTTGTGATCCACCCACCTCAGCCTCCCAAAGTGCTGGGATTACAGGCGCGAGCCACCGCGCCTGGCCTATTACTCATTTTCAGTGTCAAACTTTCCTCACATTATTTTAAATACCACTTTTATTCAAAATTTCCAAGCTTACAATTATACAAAGTTCTCTTGCCATTTTACTATTTGAATATTCCAAAAGATAAGCTATTGTTTAAAAGGAAGTAGAAAGGCAATACAGATTTCAGATGAAGCCCTGAAAGTAATTGGAACAGCCGTAAAGAGTTTTCATGGTGCAGTCATATTTCAGGTTAGTGTTAAACATGTTCTAGCACTTCAGATCCAGCATTTCACAGGTATTGTCTATGGCTAAGTTTACAAAGTGAGAGGGGGTAGCAAAAATTAGTAAATAACATTGGTATGTGGAAGGAACAAGAATGGAAGTACTTTGTGAATGACAGGTTTTCAAACATTTTTATCTAGATGGTGGTGACTCTGAAATTTACCTCTTAAACTTCTCTCCTGAACTCCATTTTTTCTCTCCAACTCTTCCCTGGATAGTTCTGCTGGAACTTCAACACTCCAAACTGAATTCATCACCTGTACCCCATCCTACTGCAAACTGATGTTCTTTCCTTTATCCATTAAGCTAGTTGGACATCCCTATAAAGTGTATGTTCTGTCTTTTCCTCTCCACCGCTGCCCCCCCTAAAACCCCCACCCCCAATAATAGATGCTCATCACTATCCCCAACTGCTGCATTGGTCTCCTAGTTTGGACCCTACCCATAAATTTAATCTTTATATTGCCATCTCTGGGATGTTTTTCAAGTGCAAAATTACAATCATTTTAAAACCAGAATTTAGTCATTGATGTCTCCTGTTGTCTGAACCTTAGCCATGATGAACTATAGGAACTCCCTATGAACTGTTTTTGCCCGCTTTGCCTTATGCTACTCCTTGTTCACTTATCTTAAAGTCTTACACCCTAGCAAAAAATTCCCAATTCCTGTTTTTGTTCTGAGGCCACTGAATGCAGCACATATTAAACTAGTAATTCATTCCACTTATGTGTCTCCACCAGAATAAAATATTAGCATTTAGTATTGTGCTTGGCACACATACTGTAGTTATGTAATAAATAGTCCTTGAGTGTATAAATGAAAGAATGGTAATTCCATATTTATAAAGGCTTGATTTAATTTTATGGCTGCTGCTGCTTGAAACATGTACAGTCTGAGTTGTGTTAAAAATGTGCTGGGATTACAGGCGTGAGCCACCGCTCCTGGCCGAGATAGGTTCTTGATTGCTGTGTTGAAATCCTTAAAGGGCATTCCCAGATAAGAGACACTTTCAAATCACATAGGATCAGGAGACTGGTATTTGATACTTCCTTGTCCGATTTCCTCATTTTAACATGTTACATGTTTAAAGGACAAATCAGTCAGTAGGTAAAAAATCTTAGGGACATAGGCTTACCAGCTCAATATAATGAGCTAATTCAATATAATGAGCAATTGACAACTAGATACTTTTACATGCAGCTTGTGAATAGCAAGTTTTCTGCCTGGATCAAACTGGGGGAGGGGAACACAGGAAAAACCTCAGAAAGCAAGCCACCATATTTTTTAACACTACTCAGAGACAACAGAAAAGCTAGCTTTGTGGTGTCAGAAAAGCTTTCTTGGACCTTATCATTCTAAGAGTTCAGGAAAATCTAATTTCATGTAAAAATGAGCAACGGAAAAAATGTCCAATCACATAAAAGGATTTTGTCAAAATGGAATTATGAATGCTTTAGTAAACCGTGGAGGAAATACCTCTGAAGAATTTAGAAGAAAGTTGTCAGCAAAGCATTCATGGATGTAGTATTTGACCTGGGTCCTCCTTGCTATCTAAATCAGTTGGAATATTAAGCTATGCTAATAGTGCAGCTGGAACAGTAGTGGTTCCCTTCTTATTCTTCAGGAATGTTTTCATTCTGACTCTGCTGTTTGATAAGAGAGTGGGAAAGGGAGGGGGTTATAAAGCCATGATTTATTCACAAGGGCATAGGGAAGGACAAGGAACTTGAGAAAATTGTGACTTACTCCATGTGGGGTTTCTGATCCATCATCATCCTTGTTCTGCACTTTCAACCATATCCAGCTCAGACTACTGGGCATATCACTGTAATTGCTATCAATTGTTTTGCTAGTTGCTTAGTCCCAAATCATTCTTTATCATCTTTTCTGTCATACCACATTTAGGTATTTTATTCAACAAACGAACTGAATGCCTATTATATACCAGACACTCTTCTAAAGCACTGGGGAAAGATACAGCATGGATCAAAACAAATTCCTGTTCTCCTGGAGTGTACAATTTTGTTTGGTGGTAGGGGAAGCATATCTGAATATGACGGTAAGTGCTATAGAGAAAAGCAAATGAGGGTTAGAATGGAAAGAGATGCCCCACTGGCATGTAAGCTCCAGGAGACAAGGACCTGCCCTGCTGATTAAGGCATTTTTCGTGCTTAGAATGGTGTCTGCTACGTAGTAGATATCCATTATTGGTTGAATGAGTAAATGATGTAAATTAAAAACTTATATTTTCAAATTATGTCAGTAGCAGACACACATCTTAAATTGTTATATTACTCCAGTGCACGTCTTGCTGAAGTTCAGAAGAGGAAGCTATTTCGTATGAAGCCAATAATCTCAAATCAGAAATGAAAACAGATACCACCTGTCATCACTTGCCGTCCTCGGCTAAGCCAGGAGTGTCCGACCCATATTCGGTAGCCTGGATACTTAGGTGTATTTAGTGAACTAACAAATGCATCCTAGCCACTGCAAAGCTTCAGAACCCTAGGGGGTAGTGCTTGGCTTCTGCTAGTCCCACAGGTATTTTAATATTAGCTGAACAAATGAAATAACCAAAAAATAAATCGCGACTGTGTCAGGTGAACTTGGGAAGGCGGATGCGCTTAGGGTCCGGCTGTAGTGAGTAACGCACTCCCTGCGAAGAGTTATATGGAGTACGAACTCTGGCCTGCGAGTCCAGCTCACGGCTTTGTACCTAAAACCTTGCCTTGCGCGAGCGCCGCCGTCCTAACGCGACCTGCCCTGCCCGTCATCTCCTATTGGCTGCCTCTCGGAAGACCCGCCTCTTGAGAAGGAAAAGCCGTCGCTTGCCGAATTGCCTGACGTCATGCAATGACCAATCAGAAGCAGCGATCTTCAGTTTTGCCCAGTGAGACTGGGTACGGGTCCTGGCCCGCGGAGTTTGATTTCGTCCTGGGATGCGGAAGTAGCTGTCCCGTCATGCGGAAGTAGCAGTCCAGTCCTAGGGACTAGAAGGTGGGTTGGTTGGGTGCGGGAGGAGGTGGGCGAGCTTCCCGTAACGTTACCCTGGCTGAACGTGAGGCTCCAGGGCTGGGCACTGGGTCGACCTCTTGTTCCTCGCTGAGGTCATCGTTACCGCCTGTGGCTGCAAGCCGAGGCGCGCGGGTGGAAACTGGGTCGAGGTCTGGGTAGACGTCTGAGCGATGTGGACAAGGAGTGGCGCAGTCTGGAATTCGATTGAGAATTCCTAACCCCTCCGCTTGATGTTCTGGTGATTCCCGGGGTCTCGGCTTCGGAGGAAGGTGAGCAAGGCTACCACGCTGTGTTTGGAGTGCACCGGGAAGCTTGTGGCCAAAGCGAGGGACGCGATCCGGCTCTGGTCACGGCCTGTTACTAGATGGGTGACCAAGTCACGTCACCTATCTGGAATTCATGCTTGTTATTTTAAAAGAGCGAGGAGGGATGGGCAGTACTTCGATATGTGTGTGAGAAGAGCTGTTCATTTTTTAAAAACTTTGAGTCGGGCCCTTGCCTGTTTTCAAGGGTCGGCTAAACTCACCCATCTGCTGAGTCTCAGCCCAAAGCTTTCAGGAAAGCGAGCTTCGCTGTGGCATGTAACTTGAAGCCTTGCCTAAGTAGATGTCCAGTTTGTTCTTGATTGGTCTCTGTTAACTAGGCCCGTTCATAAGCTCAGACATCCTATGAGGTTTTAATGTAATTTAACCAATAAATTGAAATTTCCTTTACAACCCTCTCTTTCCCCCAGACTTCCCCTTCCTTTCTTTTTCTTTGACTTCCTTCAAAATAGTGCTGGCTAGGAGAAATTAGTTGACGGTGTAGTGTGTATCAAGAGGACTTTTCCAGGTTATGTAGTACAATTTGTGTGGCATTTATTTGTCAAGAGTAACATTTTCTAAAATTTTCCCCAAAGGCACCAAGAAACTGATAATGTTCCTTTGAACTGGCTTCTGTATTTGCTTCATCAATGTCTCTCATACTGAATATCTTAAGAGAGATGCTGGAATATTTTGGCGTTCCTGTAGACCAGGTAAATATCTTTTAATGGATTGGAATGGATCTGTTGTATTTGTTCTTGGGTTTCATTTTGAAATGACTTGTATGTAGTCATTTGATTTAAGGCAAAATTGTTGCTTCTTTTTAGGTGGGACAAAGGTGAGTTTGCAATAGTATAGCTTTGATGGTTTGAGTTAGAAGAGGGATGAGATTATTGAGAACATATTTACCTGATAGGACAAATGCCAACAGAAGATACAAAGGAAGCAAAATACAGACATGACCTTCACAGAATTACATTTATTGCACAGATACATTAAAACTTCTATTCAGGGTAATTTATAAACAAGTTCAATATTTAAACCTCAATAAATCCAGAATAAATCTAATGGAAAGAGGGTGATTTAGGCCTGAGAATTATAAACTGTATTAGTCTGTTCTCATACTGCTAATAAAGACATACCCGAGACTGGGTAATTTATAAAGGAAAGAGGTTTAATTGACTCACAGTTCCACATGGCTGGGGAGGCCTCACAGTCATGGCTGAAGGCAAATGAGTAGCAAAGTCACATCTTACATAGTGGCAGACAAGAGAACTTGTGCAGGGGACTCCATTTTATAAAACCATCACATCTCATGAGACTTATTCACTACCATGAGCATAGTATGGGGGAAGCTGCCCCCATGATTCAGTTATCTTCACCTGGCCCCACCCTTGACACGTGAGGATAATTACAATTCAAGGTGAGATTTGGGTGGGGACACAGCCAAACTCTATCATAAGCAAATCAAATTTTATCTACTTGTTGAACATCTACTGTATCTAAAGACAATATGCTTGTTTCTGCAGGTAATACAGAGGAGTGATACATGGTTCTTGTATTCATAATACTTAAAATATGAAGAATAAGAAACAATAAAGATAACTGTAATATGAGATTGACTATAAGGAAAACAGGTGGGGTGAATTAGAAGAAAGTAGTCACGGATAATTTAATATTTTTTTAAAGCAAAAGTAAGTTGAAAAATGATGGTGCCATTATTATAAATGGGCATATTAGTATGAGAAAGTAGTTTGAATATGGAGATGAGGTGAGTCAGAGGTGATGTTAGAACATATAAGTAGAAATATCCTTCAGACAATTGGATATATATATATGGTTTTAGAATGTAGGAAAGAAAAAGATTCAGTTTTGGGAGTTACCTGCTTTGTTTTGATATTTGAAGCCATGAACCTTGATAATGGCAAATGTCGTTAGATGTGATTGAAACATTTTACATTGCAGTAATCAAGAGACTGAAGATAACAGCTGAACAGTTGTTTATCACTATTGCATTATTGGTGCCCCTAAGAATTTCTGTAAGTGGAGAATGGGACTGTGTTGGAATAGTTTGAAGAATGTCAGGAAGGGAAGTGGGATCAGCAACCTTCTTTTGAAAAGTTTGCTTGTGAAAAGAAATTGAGAGAGGCCATCAACCTGAAGGGGCTGCAGGATGGAATTTTTATTTTTATTTTTAAAGTTAAAAGTAACTTCAGCATATTTGTCATCACTCTGGAAGAAACAGACAGGAAGAAATTTAAGATACACATGAGAGAGTGATTAAACAACACCTTTGAGAAGGTAGTTGGGCAAGGGATCTAATTAAATAAGTCTTGGAAAGGAGAGAGACTCTTCTGCCTTAAAGAACAGAATGAAAGTGAGAGAGAGTGAAAAGAGATTTTTTTTTTTTTTCCTAAGGTTGAGTCTTGCTCTATTGCCTAGGCTGGAGTGCAGTGGTGCAATCTTGGCTCACTGCAACCTCTGCTCCCAGGTTCAAGTGATTCACCTGCCCCAGCCTGCTGAGTAGCTGGGATTACAGGAGCCTGCCACCAATGCCCAACGATTTTTATATTTTTAGTAGAGATGGGGTTTTACCACGTTGGACAGACTGGTCTTGAATTCCTAACCTCAAGTGATCTACCTGCCTTGGCCTTCCGAAGTGCTGGGATTACAGGCGTGAGCCCCCGCGCCTGGCCTGAAAAGAGATTTTGAATGGAGCTAAGTAAGAGAAATGAAGTTGAGGTATGTCAAATTGAAGTTCTCAGTTTTCTCAGTAAGAGCAGAGACAAGGTCACTTGCAGGTAATGAAGTGGTGGGATTTGAGAAGGGATTTCAGAGATTGGAGACTGCTCTGGGCAATGTGGTATAGAATCTAACTTGTTATGAAGGGATTTCAGAATACCTGTGAGAACCCAGCTGAAGTCATCATGGAGTCATAGTTTTTCTAAATATTGTCAGTTTTTTTTTTTTTTCCTAGCTAAGAGTAATTAGGGTCGTGTATTCATTAGCAATGTGGGAGCACATAATATCAAAAGAATGAACCATTTTTGAGTGACGTTGAACATATTACTGAAATAATTAACCAGAAAATCCATGCTTGGTAGGAAAATTAGTGAAGTCGAAATGTGGATGCTAGACCAGGAATAGAGGGAAGATGAAATAACAAGAATGATGAAGATGGCCAGATGTGGTGGGTCACTCCTGTAATCCCAACACCTTGGGAGGCTGAGGCAGGCAGATCACTTGAGCTCAGGTTTTCAAGACCAGCTTGGGCAACATGTTGAAACCTCGGCTCTATAAAAAATACAAAAATTAACCAGGCATGGTCGTGTGCACCTGTGGTCCGAGCTACTTCAGAAGCTGAGGTAGGAGGACTGCTTGAGCCCAGGAGATGGAGGTTGCAGTGAACCCTGATCATGCCCCTGCACTCCAGCCTGGGTGACAGAGTGAAACCCCATCTCAAAAAAAAAAAAAAAAAAAACACCTCAAAAAGCAAACAACAACAACAACGAAAGTGGTGAAGATGTCCAGGGGCAATGAAGGAATGAGAGGAAGGACAGGAGTTTTATTAGGATAGAAACTGCCGAGCAAGATAGGAAGGTATCATTTAAATTAACTAAGAGCTAACCCAACTCTTGGGTGACTGTATATGCCGTAGGTAGCCCTCATGGTAGCAAAGCCTCTATGCCTGTGGTTCTTAGCAGGGCTACGCAGATGAATGGTCTATAGAATATTTTAAATATAAATGCTCAGTCCTCCAAATATTCTACTAGTAATAGGTCTGGGATCTATATCCTCTAGGCTGTGAAATCCAGTATGATAGCCACTGGCCACATGTCACTTTTAAGTACTCAAAATATCTGAATTGAGATCTTCTGTAGGTGTAAACTATATAAGGGATTTTGAAGACTGAGTGTGAAAAAAATGTGAAATAATCTTAGCAATTTAAAAATATTATCCGTTGAGCATCACTCAAAACCTGAAATCTGAAATGCTCCAAAATCCCAAAGTACTTGAGTGCCAGCATGACACCACAATGGGAAAATTTTACACCTAACCTCATATGATGGGTCACAATCAACACGCAGGTGCATAACCCACAGTTTACTTAGCCTGCTGTTGTTGGTTGTTGCTGTTGTTTAACAGCTGAGACAGGCTGTTTATTGGATGTTTTAACGAGGATGCTTATAGGATGCTACTTATATCTGTTGGGATATTAGGAAAAATGTCCAATTTATTATATCTTTTGGCTGGTGGGGGAGAGTGGTTCCTGTGGCAATGGTTTACACTAATTTGGGAAGCCCACACTAAAGGACGAAGTATTATTTGAGCTATAGTGGCACATTTTCACTTCTAATACCTTTTCAAGAGCTTACTGCCAGCAGATACATTTTGCTTTATGTCAATAACTCTTTCAATTGTCTAGGACCTGATTTATTTATTCCCTTTTTTATTTCTCCTTTAAAGTAATTACCTCGTTGCTCTGTATTACCTCGTTGCTTGATAAATTGAAATTGTCAATTTTTGGTTGGGCCAAAAAGATGGGATTTGTAGCTGGAGGAGGGGATGCAATTTTTTTGAACAAAGTTTCCTCCAGGGTATTTGAACATTATCAGAAACAGAACAAAATGAATTGTGCTTTTTAAGAGATCTTCCTGGAATGTATATATGTTTACTACCATCTTTTTTTAAGACAAATACTCATAAAGTTCTATTCTTGAAGAAAGGCTCTGCCATTCTATACTTCTTTTTAAAAATAAATGTATTTTACAGGACTCCCTGTATTTTTAAAAAAATGCCACCGCATCTTTTTTATATCTCCTTTTTTCATACTTATATAAATCTGCTTAATCAGAGTGCATTTTAATTCATACTTTATGTTTAAAATAGGTTTTGCTGATTTGGGAAAATAAAGACTATGGATCAACTAGGAGTATTGTTCGTATCATTGGGAAAATGCTTCCATTAGAACCTTGTCGAAGACCTAATTTTGAAGTAAGTTAGTCAACATAAATTGTTTAAGTTCCAAGTACAAAATAATCCTAGGTACTCTTACAGATACAGGGTGGAACAACAAAGGAAGAAACATTTCCTGCAAGCCAAAAACCTTTAATTTACCCTTGGGAACAAGCCATTTCATATATGTTTTTGTGGTTTTGTTTTTTTAAATACAATCATGCATCATTTAATGATGGGGGGATACATTCTGAGAAATGCATTGTTCAGTGATTTTGTCATTGTGCAAACATCACAGAGTATACTGGCACAAACCTAGATGGTATATGGTCTACTGCGCACCCAGGCTATATGGTATGACCTGTTGCTTCTAGTCTGCAAACCTGTACAGCATGTTACTGTACTGAATACTGTAGGCAGTTGTTACATAATGATAAGTGTTTGTGTATCTAAACATAGAAAAAGTACAGTAACAGTCTAATAAAAAGATAAAAAATGTTACCTCTGTATAGGGCACCTACCATGAATGGAAGACGGGAAGTTGCTCTGGGTGAGTCAGTGAGTGGTGAGTGAATTTAAAGGCCTAGGACATTACTGTACACTACTGTAGACTTTATAAACACTGTACACTTAGGCTACACTAAGTTTATACAAAAACTCTTTCTTCAATAATAGATTAACCTTAGCTTACTGTAACTTTTTTATACATGTTTTTATTTTGTAAAAACTTTTTGAGTCTTTTGTAGTAACACTTATCTTAAAACACATTGTATAGCTATCCAAATATTTTTTGTATCCTTATTCTATAAGCTTTTTATGATTTAAAAAATTTTTTAATTTTTTGTACTTTTTAAATTTTTTTTGTTAAAACTAAGACACAAGCACACATGTTAGCCTAGGCCTACCCAGGGCAGAATCATCAGTATCACTGTCTTCTACCTCCACATCTTGTCCTATTGGAAAACCTTCAGTGGCAATAACATGCATGGAGCTGTCACCTCCTACGATAACAATACCTTCTGGAATACCTTCTGAAGGATCTTCCTGAGGCTGCGTTATAGTTAACTTTTTATTTTTTTTAATTTTTTTTTTAGATAAGGTCTTGCTGTCGCCCAGGTGGAAGTGCAGTGACATGATAATGGCTCACTGCAGCCTCAACCTCCTGGGCTCAAGTGATCCTCCCACCTCAGCCTCCTGAGTAGCTGGAACTACTTGGGAGGTGCGTGCCACCACACCTGGCTAACTTTTTTTTTTGTCTGATAGAGACAGGATCTTGCTATGTTGTCCTGGCTGGTCTTGAACTGCTGGCCTTAATTGAGCCTCCTGCCTTGGCCTCCCAAAGTGCTGGGATGACAGGAATGCACCACCATGCTCAGCCAACTTTTCTTTTAAAGTAGAAGGAATACACTCTAAAATAATAATAAAAAGTATAATATAGTAAATACTCAGGATAGGAATATTTCAGTTTCACTGTAATCTTATGTGACCCCATGTATATGCAGTCCATCATCAACCTAAACGTTATGTGGTACATGTCTGTAATGACATTCACAGATGGGCAAGTGTGAACAATAACTGAAGAGCTTATTTAATTTTATTTTGCATTTTATGATAGATGAAATTAACCAGAGGAGAGAATATTGCTTAGTGCTTAGACTTCAGCATAACATTTTTCCCAGTGTTCTTTCTTGCTAACAGGTGCATGTTTTTCTATTGAATATTCTTTTTATTTTTCTTTCTTTTAGATCATTAACTAATTTAATACCATGGGGCATGTGTCTTCTCCTGACTCCCTGCAGAGCTCTGACTATTTTTTTTTTTTTTTTTTTTACTTTAGTTGATCCCGCTCTTGAACTCTGTAGACTCTGAAAATTGTGGATCTGTGGTTCCTTCTTTTGCTGATATTTTGTATGTGGCAAATGATGAAGAAGCCAGTTATCTCAGATTTCGGTAATTTTATATGCTTACCTTGGGAAGTGGGCTATAAACTGAATTCTTGCTTGTGTCGAAGCTTGTTCCGATTGGTGGAGCTTTTTTTGTTTTGTTTATCTTCAAACTGTGCTGTGCCCTACTGTATCTTCCTAGTAAAGAAGCCTGGCTGTTTTTCATTTTTTTAGCCAGTTTTTTTTTTAAATGCATATTTAAACCTAACACCAGACCTAGGAGGGAGTGGTTATCAAAGGGATATTAGAATCATATATTTAGCCAAAACTTACATAGTGTTTACTGTGCACCAGGCAATGATGTTAAATGTAATTCAAAATTTGGATGTGTTACTCCTAGAGAGTATTACCTTATATGTTAGTATATTCAGATACAGGCTCTAAGCACAGTGTCAATTCTTTAAGTATTCTGGCTGATGTATCAAACTGGCACCAATTTTCAAATAGTTAAAAGAACATACATTTCACCCTAATGTAATCCTGAATGTAAGACTCTTTATTAACTTATATAGAACTTCTAAATAAATTAACTTACCTGCATTTAAAGTTAATAAGTAGAGCAATTGCAGAATAATTATTTTTGTTTTATAATCTAAAAGCAGGGTTTCTTTTGTTCATTCCCTGGTCACTGAATGGTCCTTTATTGGAGGCTACGTTCTGTTTATATTGGGAATACAAAGCTAAATAAGATGTTTTCCTTGTCCTCAGTGACTCTAGAAACAATCATGGGGGGTAGAGAGTAGTTTTTTTTTTGGAGACGAAGTTTCACTCTGTCAACCAGGCTGGAGTGCAATGGCACGATCTTGGCTCACCGCAACCTCTGCCTCCCAGGCTCAAGCGATTCTCCTGCCACAGCCTCCCGAGTAGCTGGGACTACAGGGCCACGCCATCACACCTAGCTAATTTTTAAAAATATTTTTAGTAGAGACAGGGTTTCGCCATTTTGACCAGGCTGGTCTCAAACTCCTGTCCTCAGGTGATTCACTGCCTCAGCCTCCCAAAGTGTTGGGATTACAGGCGTGAGCCACCGTGCCTGGCCTGAGAGTAGCTTTTATTTTGTTTTATTGTCTTTTGATTTTCATTTCTTGTTTTTTTCACCCACAGAAATAGTATATGGAAAAATGAAGAAGAGAAGGTGGAAATTTTTCATCCTTTGCAACTAGTTCGGGATCCACTGTCACCTGCTGTAAGACAGAAAGAAACAGTGAAAAATGATATGCCTGTAAATGAAGCTGCAATTAAAAAAATAGCTGCCCTTGAAAATGAGCTGACTTTTCTTCGCTCTCAGATTGCAGCAATTGTGGAAATGCAGGAACTGAAAAACAGTGCAAATTCTAGTAAGTAACACCAGGAGTTTTGTTTCAGTTAGATGATACTCATGGTATAGCCTATACCAACCTGTACAGCATGATACTGTACTGAATATAGTACATACAGTAGCATACAGGAACATCTAATATTTAAGTGAGTACAATTCTGAATAAGTACCATGAAAACATTAAATGCACATAAAAGGATGTTGGATATACAAAATTATTATATCTGATGTTTATTCAAGATAAATTAAGACACATTTGTAGTGAGGGGATGGCTTTGATTTAAAGAAGAACTAGCTTTACTATACTAGAAGATTGTATTTTTGTATTAAAAAGTCTGTTGTCTTCTATGTAAGCTTTTCTTTTCTTTCTTTATTTTTTTTTTGAGACGGAGTCTCCCTCTGTTGCCCAGGCTGGAGTGCAGTGGCGTGATCTCGGCTCACTGCAAGCTCTGCCTCCCGGGTTCACGCCATTCTCCTGCCTCAGCCTCCTGAGTAGCTGGGACTACAGGCGCCCACCACCATGCCTGGCTAATTTTTTGTATTTTTAGTGGAGACAGGGTTTCACCGTGTTAGCCAGGATGGTCTCGACCTGCTGACCTCGTGATCCACCTGCCTCGGCCTCCCAAAGTGCTGGGATTACAGGCATGAGCCACTGTGCCCGGCCCTCAGAAAGCTTTTCTAACTCTTCATGAAAGCATTGGAGATTAAAGAGGAAGAATGCATTGGTTTGAAAGAGGATATAGGTTTGAGGATATATGTTTATAGTTTTTAGTTATTGCTGCTACACTTCCAGCAAGTTGAGGTGAGTAATGTTTTCCTGATGATTGTTTTATAAATTTATAGAGATACAGCTTGCTTTAAACATATGCACACACACACACACAACGTGTATGTATTTGTGTATGTGTGTATAAAATGTAAAGCAATCTAGGTACTGAATGCTTTTCACAACAGATTTGGCTGTAAAGGGCTGTGTGTAAATATAATTGCTAAAAATGGTTTAATATGTATACAAATGCATAAATACACATATAATTTAATATATTTATACAGTATATATTTATAACATAATTTACATATAAACACATTATATAGTATACAATAACTTATATTTATACATGATAAGTAAAATGATATATAACTATACACAGTTTTCTTAAGCAATCATGTTTACCCACAGTCCTTTAGGAGCAAATCTGTTGTGGAAAAGTTAAATACTCAGTACCCATCTTAAGCTTTGCTTAGAAAATAATATGCTTATTTCTCCAGTGTCATTATAGAGTGAATACATCAATTTGTATTTCTAACTACAAGTTGTTGATTATGTTTTAGCTTTTTAAAATAGAGGATGAAGTTCAGAGTGTATGTGAATTACTGAAAAAACACATTTTTTTGTTTGTTTGTTTAAAACGCATTCTCCAACCCCCTCTGCTCTTGGGCCCACACTGAAAATTCCTAACTGGATTAAAAATGAATTCACAATTTGACCTGACTCTTAAATTACTAAGCAGATGGAATTGATTCTCTTTCCTTGCTACTATATCGCTACTTTTAGTAGCATTACAGAAATTGCTCCTGTTTTGGTTCTAATTAGTGTTATTAATATATATTACGTTAGAGATAATTGTGCATGATTTTGTAATCAACCACTTTCTTTGTAGGTTCCTTTGGCTTGAATGACAAGCCCATTAGTTTGGGCCAGTTGTCATCATCGCGGGCTGCCCGTCTGAGTGTGGAGCCGGATCAGTTTCCAAGTTCAGTGCTTTCTTCTCCTCCTCCTCCACCACCACTTCCTCCTCAGTTTTCATCTCTCCAGCCACTGTGTTTTCCTCCCATACAACCAAGATCTAGTAATATTTGTGACTCAGATAATCCAGCTACTGAAATGAACAAACAGAACCTGGCTGCTAATAAGACCAATTATAGTCATCATTCAAAAAGCCAGAGAAATAAAGATATTCCAAACATGTTGGACGTTCTGAAGGATATGAATAAGGTTAAGCTTCGTGCAGTTGAGCGGTATGTTGTTGTAATTTGAAAAGTGAACTGAAATTTTGTCAATTATATGTTTAGAAAAATTATTATGTTTATGAAAATTAACATATATGTCTTTTTTCTTATTCTTTACCCCTGAATACCTATCCCAGAGATAATGACATTCAATTATTTTTGACTACTACTTCTACTGTCTCTTATCACCATATTTTTGAAACAACATACTTATTTGCTATTTCTTGATATTTTAATTATATTGACTTCCAGTTGTAGGATATTAGGAATATATTTTCTTAGATATTCTACACACACACATCTTGCTACATTTTCCTGAAATAGTGAAACCACAATCTTTAGTTAAATGAGTATTCAAAATTAATATCCTTATTATAATGGTAAACATCCACAGTAAGCCATTTCTCATATTGTAACCCAGGCTGGAGGGCAGTGTTGAAATTATAGCTCATTGCAGCCTCGACCTTCTGGGCTCAAGTGATCCTCCCACCTCAGCTTTCTTAGTAGTTGGGACTATAGGCATGTGCCACCATGCCTGGCTAATTTTTGTATTTTTTGTAGAGATGAGGTTTCGCCATGTTGCCCAGGCTGGTCTCGAACTCCTGAGCTCAAGCGATCTGCCCATGTTGGCCTCCCAAAGTGCTGGGATTATAGGTGTGAGTCACTGTGCCTGGCCCCATTTCATATATTTTGACTACATTTTGTTTGTTGAATAATTTTTTTAGAGTTAATAATTGCCTCTCTGAGTTGCATTTGTGTGTGTGTGTGTGGTGAAAAAACATAATGAACTCTGTTCTGTTAACAGATTTTTATGTGTGTAATACGGTATCATTAACCATAAGCATAATGTTGTACAACAAGTCTCTAGAGCTTTTTCATCTTGCATAACTGAAATTTTATACTCATTGAACAGTAATTGTTTCCCTCTCCCCTCATCCCCTGGCAACTGCCATTCTTCTTTCTACCTCTATAGTTTGATTGCTTTATTTTTTATTTTATCTTATTAAAAAAAAATAGAGACAGGATTTCACTGTGTTGCCCGGGCTGGTCTTGTACTACTGGGCTCAAGTAATCCTCCTGCCTCGGTCTCTCAAAGTACTGGGATTACAGGCGAGAGCCACTGTGCCCGGCCTAGTTCGATTACTTTAGATACCTCATATAAGTGAATCATGCAGCATTTATCTTTTTGTGACTGACTTATTTCACTTAGCATACTGTATATTCTATTATATGTATATATCCTGTTTCTTAATCCATTCATCTGTTGGTAGACATTTAGTTTGCTTCCATGTCTTGTCTATTGTGAATAGCGCTGCAATGAATGTGGGTGTGTAGATATGTCTTTGAGATACTGATTTCACTTCTTTTGGATAAGTACCCCGAAGTGGGATTGCTGGATCATAGGGTAGTTCTATTTCTAATTTTTGGATGAACCTCCATTTAGTTCTTGGTGGTTCTCCTCGAGGATCCCTCTGTGCCCAAAGGATTTCCTTCGCTTACCTCTTGAGCATTCTTGCCCCCTTTTTTTCTATGCTGCATCACTGATTTCCTAAATATCATATCTTCCTGTAGCTTCTGGAGAAACATAAAAGGTAGATTAGTTTAATACTTTGCATGTCCAAAAATGTTCTTTTATTCTTTTTTTTGAGACGGAGTCTGGCTCTGTCGCCCAGGCTGGAGTGCAGTGGCATGATCTTGGCTCACTGCAACTTCTGCCTCCCGGGTCTTGGTTCAAGCAATTCTCTTGCCTCAGCCTCCCAAGTAGCTGGGATTACAGGCACGTGCCACCATGCCCAGCTACTTTTTGTAGTTTTAGTAGAGACGGGGTTTCACCATGTTGGCCAGGCTGGTCATGAACTCCTGACCTTACCATCCGCTGGCCTCAGCCTCCCAAAGGGCTGGGATTACAGGTGTGAGCCACTGTGCCTGGCCCACATTTTTAATTTTTAACAGCTGTTTCTTTTTCTTCACGTGCTTCTTTTTAAAATCTTTTTGGTTTTATTGGTCTTATCCCACTGATAGTATTAAAAGTATAGGTTTAAGTTTTTCTGTCTTCTTGAATTACTCTATTTTTTGTGAGTTTCTTTTTTCCTTTTAGCTTTGATCTCTATCTTTAGTTTTGTAGCCTTGTGTAAGCATCTGGTGATTCTTATTTAAAAATGAGACAAGGAAAAGCTGATTGCATGTTATTTGTGTGAGGTGGGCTTATCAACTTGGGGGCTTCACAATTTAGTGATTAGGGAGAGGACCATTTTGTTGGCCACATCCCAGAGCTGTATGTCTTTTCTTTTGGGCTACAGGATTTTCCTTAGAAAGTTCTTCAGTCACCCTCATGGTCAAGAGGGGTGGGGATTACACAGTGGGTGCAAGCCAGGTCATTGGAGAGCTGAGTGGGGAAAGACGAGCAAGAGAGAAGTGTCTATTCAGCACAGACTTTTCACTCGTGCCCCACGCTCTCACTTTCATCAGCTTTCCAGCTTCCAGCATCTGGTTGCAATTCTTATCTCCTGTCCCCCTTCTAATCTCTTTGTCCTTGTGGATATATAGACCTTTTTTATTTCTTTACTGTCATTTTAGTAGGATTTCACAAGGTATTTGCCATGTTTACCTGGAAATCCCTTAGTGAGGTTTTTGGTGAGAAAATAGATGTATTTTCTGTATAGTAATAGTCCTAGGACAGATAAGTCAGTTCTGTTTTTAATGAGGTTGTGAGTTTGTTCCTTGCAATGATGCAGAAGGGCTCATTTTAAGTGAAATCCTTGTGAAGAGGAAAGAGAAGGGAAACCAGTAACCAAAGGAAGAGCCTGAGGCAGCTTGTTGAGAAAAATCCCATGGCTGTAGGTGCATGCCTGGTCCCAGCTAGATCTTGTACTTATGTCATCAGGCTTAGTATCAAACAGCAACTCTGTGACTGTTACTATCACTGGAAAAACAACTAAAAGACCAGTAGACTCTGCCTCCTGTCCGCCTGCTCTCTCCTGAATTGCCTGTACAGCTAACTTTGTTTTGTACATTGCTGAGCAATCAGATGAGCTCTCTTACCTCTTTACACCTACAGATTCCCCATGCAGATTCTCTGCCTTCCGTCTTGCTGTTGTGAACGAAGTGTCATCATTCATGGCTAGGCTCTTCCTTTGGTTACTGGTTTCCTTTCTCTTTCCTTTTCACAAGGATTTCACTTAAAATGAGCCCTTCTGCATCACTGAATCTTCCTTCTTTACCTCATCCTTCTCCTCATACCTAAGTACTTCCCATCTTCAGAACACATGTACTCTCAGCCGTTGTTCTGTTCTGCTCCCCTTTCTAATAGGAATTCTTGAAGTCGTCTATAATTTGTTTCTATTAATGCCGCCTTCTACCCACAGTGACTCCATTGGAAACTGCTTCACTAGTGACTCTCCATGTGGCTAAATCCAGTGGTCTCTTTGCGTTGCTCGTCTTACTTGACTTCTTGGCAGCATTTGATACAGCCCATGGTGGTCTCCATCTCCTCCTTGGACACTTTCTTTTTTTTTTTTTTTTTTTTTTTTTTGAGACAGAGTCTCGCTCTGTTGCCAGGCTGGAGTGCAGTGGCACGATCTCGGCTCACTGCAACCTCTGCCTCCTGGATTCAAGTGATTCTCCTGCTTCAGCCTCCCGAGTAGCTGGGACTACAGGTGTGTGCCACCATGCCAGGCTAATTTTTGTATTTTTAGTAGAGACGGGGTTTCACCATATTGGCCAGGGTGGTCTCATCTCTTGACCTCGTGATCTGCCTGCCTCGGCCTCCCAAAGTGCTGGGATTACAGGTGTGAGCCACTGCGCCCAGCCTGGAGCACTTTCTTTACTTGGTTTCTGAGAAAGCATACCCCCAGGTTTCCTCTGACCTCATCGGCTATTCCTTCTTATTCCTTTAACTCTTCCCCCTGGGCCTGGTCTTTAAATGTTGAAGTACCTGGTTCAGACCTCAGTCCCCTCTCTTCTCTGTCCATGCTGTTTCCTTTGGTGAGCTCACCTAGTCCTGTGGCTCTAAATACCAGCTGTATGCTTATGACTCAAATGTTTATTTTTCTAGCCCTGATCTCTCCTCTGAGCCCGGGTGCATACACCCAGATTCCTACTTGACATCTTTATTTGCCTGTCTCACAGGTATCTCGTTTCACAGGCCCAAAATAGGACTTTTCCTTCCTACCTGTTCTTTTCCGCCACCTTGAAAACCTGTTCTTTCCCGTGTCTTTTGCATCTTAGCAAATGGCAACACGATCACCCGGCTGCTTCAGAACCAGGAATCAGGCAGGTGCGGTGGCTCACACCAGTAATCCCAGCACTTTGGGAGGCCGAGGTGGGCAGATCACTTGAAGTCAGGAGTTCAAGACCAGCCTGGCCAACATGGTGAAACCCTGTGTCTACTAAAAACACAAAACTTACCCGGGCATGGTGGCGCACACCTGTAATCCCAGCTACTAGGAGGCTGAGGCAGGGGAATTGCTTGAGCCCAGGAGGCGGAGGTTGCAGTGAGCCACTGCACTCCAGCCTTGGTAACAAAGCGAGACTCCGTCTCAAAAAAACAAAAACAAATATCTAGGAATCATCATTCGTCTTTATTTTCCGTTCTATCTCCCACACTTCCCATCAGCACATAGCTCAATTCTATGGACCCTCTTGACCTCCACTGCCACCTCCCCAGGCCAAGCCCATTCTTATCTAGCTTGAACTTCCGCAGCAGCCTCCTCAGTGGTCTGTTTTCATTCTTGCCTCGTTATATTTTCTGCAGATAGTGACCAGAAGTCAGATCAGGCCATTCTGCTGCTTCAGACTCTTCTGTGGGTTTCCATTGTGCTTTGAATCAGTTCCAGAGCCCTTGCTGTGTCCGTAGGTCCCTCCAGGAGCCAGCCCTCGCTTCTCTCGCTGAACTCCTCTCCTATGTCCCGTGTTTGTCCACTGAGCTCCAGCTGCAGTTGGTTTCCTTTTTCCATTTCTCACACATGCCAGGCTCCTTCCTGATGCACCCCCAGATGTTTACACTAAAACTGACCCCTTGTCATTTTCTTAAAGAGGATGTTGCTTCCTTAAAGTGGCTTTGTTTCTGATCATGTCTCATCTAAAGTGCTTCTGTCCCTAGTCGCTACTACATCTCCCTATTTTTTATTTTTTAATTTAGTTTTTTTTTTTTTTTTTGAGACAAGGTCTTGCTCTGTCACCCAGGCTGAAGTGTAGTGGTGCCACGACTCACAGCAGGCTTGATCTCCTTGGCTCAAGTGATCCTCCTGCCTGAACCTCCCAAGTAGTTGCCTGGCTAATTTTTAATTTTTTTGTAGAGATGGGGTCTCGCTATGTTACCCAGGCTGCTCTCGAACTCCTGAGCTCAAGCAGTCCTCCCACCTTGGCCTCCTAAAGTGCTGGGATTACAGACACGAGCTACCGTGCCCAGCCTCTGTTTGGTTTTATTCACAGCACTTATTACCATCCAAATGATCTTACTCACTAGTGTATTGATGATAATCTTGCTGTAAGAATAGGAAGCAGAATACTCCCAAAGCATAAAATGGAGCTGGATGTAGCAGTGGGCATTCAATGAAGATTGAATGAATGAATGCCCAAACCGATGAACAATTTGCCTAATTTTTTTTTTTTTTTGCATGAACTCTAGTCCTTTTAAAAGTTCTTATTTGAATTTTCCTACCCATTAGGAAATTAGAAAATTACAATAATAAAGATCTTCAGCATAGTGACATCTGACAAATCTCAGGTCCTAACAGGGTTATGGCAGAGTCCCAAGTCAGATCGGTTCTTGGTTTTTCTGATTCTTCATTCATTGTGCTTTCCTTAGTTCATTGCAAAAATTTCTTGAAGGTTAGATTATTTTCAGTCTCTTGAAGACTAATTAAATTGTAAGATATTATGCTTGTATTCCTGCTATGTTTGTCAACAAGGAGCTAAAATTACATCCAAGTTTTAATAAATTCAATTTTTTTTTTTAAAAAAATAGGTCACCTGGCGGTAGACCCATTCATAAGAGGAAAAGACAGAATTCACATTGGGATCCAGTTTCTTTAATATCTCATGCACTTAAGCAGAAATTTGCATTTCAAGAAGATGATTCTTTTGAGAAAGAGAATAGATCTTGGGAATCTTCCCCATTTTCTAGTCCAGAAACTTCAAGGGTAAGCTACACTAATGGAATATTAATTTTTCAGTTTTTCTCAGATGTATTGTTTATGTTACAGCTTTGTGTTCAAGTTCTCTTGAAGTAATTGTGCAGAATGGGCTATATAATTGTTTATTGATGCTGCTAATGTTTCTGGGGGTTTTTTTGTTGTTAATTTTATATGCTCATTTTCACTTTTAGCCTATTATGAGGTCTTTTGAAATAAAATACTTAATTTTAAAAATATTTGTGCATATGTTTATAATGACTTATCTTAGGTGCCAATTTGATGTTGCCATCTGCAGTATGAACTGGGTGTCTGACAGTTTGAGAGGGCCGGGGAAGAATGGTGCAATAGATTCCCCTTAACCATATGGAATGTGAATACGCCAAGATTTTTCTCTGTCAAATATACAGACTTTGGATATTTTGTTGAATCTAATGTTAACTCTGCATATAAAAAAGCAAATGGGATTATAGTTATCTTTAGTGACAGCACTTACTGGATGCCTAGGATGACAAACACTGGATTTTAAGCATTTGAGCCTTAAGACCACTATTTACTTGAAGTCTCTTTTCTTAAATTTAGAAGTAATTCTAATTTTGGGGTGGTTTTCACATGTCTTAATTTAGTTGAGGTAGTATTAACACATAAAAATAAGCCCTGGACAGGAGTGTGGAAGAGGAACAGCATCTACAGTCAGCTAGATAGCACTGAGGAAGGACAGATGTCAGCAGAGGAAGAAACTGGAAAGCTCAGATGCATTGAGTCCTCAAAGAGTGTAACAGGGCCGGGCGTGGTCATCCCAGCACTTTGGGAGGCTGAGGTGGGCAGATCACTAGGTCAGGAGTTTGAGACTAGTCTGACCAACATGGTGAAACCTCGTCTCTACTAAAAATACAAAAATTAGCCAGGCGTGGTAGCGTGTGCCTGTAATTCCAGCTACTCAGGAGGCTGAGGCAGGAGGATTGCTTGAACCTGGGAGGCAGAGGTTGCAGTGGGCCAAGACTGTGCCACTGCACTCCAGCCTGGTGACAGGGCGAGACTCCATCTCAAAAAAAAAAAAAAAAAAAAAAATGTAACAGAGTGGAGGGACTTGTCACACACACACATTCCCACTCCAGTGCTAGCAACCTCTTAGCTCACCATTGTGTGTGTGTGTTTGTGTGTGTGTACTTTAATATCTGATGTTTAGCACGTTGACTTAGAAAATTATATTCTTTTAACTATTTAAGAAGACAAGGCCGGGCGCAGTGGCTCAAGCCTGTAATCCCAGAACTTTGGGAGGCTGAGGTGGGTGGATCATGAGGTCAGGAGATCAAGACCATCCTGGCTAACACAGTGAAACCACATCTCTACTAAAAATACAAAAGAAATTAGCCAGGCGTGGTGGTGGGTGCCTGTAGTCCCAGCTACTTGGGAGGCTGAGGCAGGAGAATGGCGTGAACCCTGGAGGCGGAGCTTGTAGTGAGCTTAGATCGTGCCACTGCCCTCGAGCCTGGGTGACACAGCGAGACTCCATCTCAAAAAAAAAAAAAGGAAGACAAGAAGTTTGCTTTAGAACTATTACCATAAAAATGCAAATGTGTCTAAAATAAATGTTTAATTTTATCATTTGTAGAGCAATTTGTAACTTGCAGAGTATCTTTTTTACTCATCTCACTAGATCTTTATAGTGGCAACCTCCTTCCCCCGAAAAATATGAGGAAAATGAGCCCTGTAGTGCCTATAATCCCCTATATAAGGGGCAGAGCAGAGACTAGAACTTGGTTTCTTAAAATTTCAGGATGTTTGAAAACCTGCAGTTATCTGAGAAGTTCCCGTAGGCGGGACACACCGTTTCCCAGTGATAGTGGATAAGCGAAGTGTTACTAGCTTGTCATTTACTGCTTGCTGTTAGTTTAGTGTCTCTCGCACTTTCTTTCCAACCAACTACAAGTTTTTTAGAGAATCATCATTTTTTTTTTTTACGTAATTTTTAGCACTTAATTTCAGGCTGGGCACACAGGGACTCAAATTTTAGTTGCCTAAGAGCTCAGTCTGTGCCGCTGAGAGTGTCTCGTTCACGTTTGTCCTTGGCTCTGAGTGTAGTACCTGATACACAGCCAAATAACGATGTATTATAGTAATACATACAGTAAGTAAATATTGTGTGTTAAACCTCAGAGGGTCATCGGCCCTTTGTCTTGCCATTCTTTTTTTTTTTTTTTTTAACATTAGAATAATTTGTATGTTAAATATTTGCTTTATTTCAGTTTGGACATCACATTTCACAGTCAGAAGGACAGCGAACTAAAGAAGAAATGGTCAACACAAAAGCTGTTGACCAAGGTATCAGCAATACAAGCCTTCTAAACTCAAGGATTTAAACTCAACTTAAGGTTGAGCCTTAGACTTCTAAAACTTCTTCCTGGATGATAAATTATTCTTAGAAACTGATTTGGACTGTTAAAGGCTAAAAGTAGATGTATTTAAAGACTTTTCTTGACACATTTTGCCTACACTTGCTATGTAAATACCTATGCCTGTCATTTTTGTTTCCTTTGTTCCTTTCTACATTTACACTCTGTTCTTCTGTACATAGAGCTTAAAATAAACATTCCTTTTGAACTTGCTTGTGTTTTGTAGCAATTCAAATTCATGTTTTCTCACCACATAGTCTGACCTTTTTGTTTGTTTGTTTTTTGTGAGGAATTTCATAGGTAGTTTCTTGGATAATAGAAATGAAACATAAGTTTGCAACAGATATTTTGTCCCTCTTCACCCACATACTAATGTGATATGGAAATTTACATGTTTCCCTGGACCCTTCAGACTGTATGCAGCAGCCAGGGAGCTCAGGTCACCATTGCAATGGACTCAGCCCCACCCATTTTGCCAAGCTCTTCACTTTCAACAAAGCCCAGGTTTCCTACAGTTTTCTTGTTGTGGCAGAGAGTTGCTTGCCTGGCCCCACCTCCATTCTCAACCCTTTCTCCTGGCCATATTCCAGTTAGGAGTGGCTGTGGGGCAGTTATGACCATGAAGAAAAGGGTTAGAATCACAGAGATGACATTGCTGAGCTGTTGAACCAACATCAACAAGTCCTGTTTGCAGACTTCTTGTCAGAAAGATATATTAGAAAAATATGCCCTGTGGGTTTTCTGTTACTTGCAGCCAAAAGCATTTGTAATGACACCACAAGCATAATAGTGTAGTTTTTTTGTTTTTTGTTTTTTTTTGTTTTTTTTTTTTTAAGAGATAAGGTCTCATTCTGTTGCGCAGGCTGGAGTGAGTGGTGCAGTCATGGCTCACTGCAAGCTCAAATTCCTGGGTTCAAGTGATATTCTTCCCTCAGCCTCTGAAGTAGCTGGAATATAGGTGTGCACTACCATCCTGGCTAATTTGTAGAGACAGGGTCTCATGTTGGCTAGGCTGGTGTCGAACTCCTGGCCCCAAGTGATCCTCCTGCCTTGGCCTCCCAAAGTGCTGGGATTATAAGCGTGAGTCCCTGCTCCTGTCGTAGTGTAGTTTCAATGCCTGCCTGTTCATTATTCCTTCTGTGATTTTTTTTTTTTTTTTGGAGACAGGGTCTTCCTCCGTTGCCCAGGCTGGAGTGCAGTGGTGTAGTCATGACTCACTGCAGCCTCCAATTCCTGGGCTTAAGTGATCCTCGCACCTCAGCCTCCCAAGTAGCTGGACTACAGGCACATACCATCATGCCTGGCTAAGTTTTGTATTTTTTGTGGAGATGGTGTTTCACCATGTTGCCCAGGCTAGTCTCAAATTCCTGGGTTTAAGTGATCCACCCGCCTCAGCCTCCCAAAGTGCTGGGATTACTGGCATGAGCCACTGCACCCAGCCTGTGATTGTTTTTGATATTTCTTATCTAGCTACCAACAGTTTTTGTTCTTGCTGTTGTTCCTGACTCTCTTAAATGTTTTCCCCACCCTGACTTTTCTCATTATCCTTGTAATAAGATTTTTTTTTCTCTTGAAATAACTTTATTTTCCAAGTAGGTAGGCTTGCATTTTCAGTTTTCTAGTTTCCTTGTTCAAAAATATGTAATCAGCAATCCCTCAACAACCAGCAGGAAGATACTATCCTCTGCCAAGTGAAGTATATTATTTCTTGACAAACCCCAAGTTGGTTTTTTGGTGGGCTTTTTTGTTGTACATTAGAATAGATTTCCTGCCTTCCCAAAGCACATTTCAACACCAGTGATGCATTAGAATTGAGTTGACTTTGTGCTCCCCGGTGTTTCGAAGTATAACTCCTGGTATCCTGGGGGACATGACCATATGCCCTAAAATCCTGAGAAGCCTCAGGGGCCTTATTTTGGGCTCCCGGTAACTGCTGTGTTCACTTTAGAATTCTTGAGGATTGGGGATTCAGTTTAGGCCTTCCTCATGAGCCTATACATAAATGACCTGATGCCTAAATGTTATAAAATCCAGATTTGATTACTTTTAAATTTGATGAAATTACTGTAAATGCTGATGCTTTCTCTCGAAAGTTATGTTAATAGCTTCTTTTCCTGACTTCTCCCTCTTGCCCTGGAAGAGTCCCTTCTCCCACTTCTTCAAATGCCTTTGAGTACGTTGCATTGCCCTCCAAACTGGGTGTGTGTTGGTGCTCTCAAACTAAGGTGCTTAAGCAAGGACATTTCACCAAGCATTCTAATAGTATTTTATATTTGGAGACATTTTTATAAAAGGTTTTATAATATAGACTGCAAGAAGGTAATGTTCAAAATCTTGACTGGTTGATATGCAGATGATAGTGGTTTTCAAGGCAGGGAGGGGAGACGTGACTACCCAGGAGTGTGTATCAAAATCTGAAGAGGACCCAGATTGGAAACAGTGGCAGGGGCCCCCTGGGGAGGGGGGATCAAAAGGTCACACTTTTACAATGAATATGTATTTGTGTTTTAATTATGAAATCTAAATAAAAATTTCCAACAGTCCGTTAAGATTCCTATAACAAAATACCATAAACAGAGGGGCTTATAAACAATGGAAATTTATTTCTCACAGTTCTGGAGGCTGGGAAGCCCAAGATCAAGGTGCTGGCAGATTTGGTATCTGGGGTGGGCCTGCTTCCTGGTTCACAGAAGGCCCAGCCATCTTCTTGCTGTGTCTTCACATGGCTGAAGGGGTGAGAGAGCTCTCTGGGGTTTTTCACAAGGGCACTAATGCAATCACGAGGACTTCGCTCTCTTGACCTAATCATCTCCCGAAGGCCTCACCTCCTAAATATGGTCACCTTGGGAGTTAGGATTTCAGTGTGTGAATTTTGGGGGAACAGAAGCATTCCATCATTGGAATTAGGTATTCGGAGAAATAGCCATTTACACAGAGGATAATTTAGATGGCAGCAATCGGGAAAGAGCATTTTAAACAGGTTTTGCCAGATAGAAAGCACACTCTCTTCTCAGATTGGAGAGGCTAAGTGTACGATGGATTTATTTTAAAATGATCCTCTTCCCCTCAAAACAAAAACAAAAAACAAAACAAAACAAAAAAACCCCCACAAAATCCCAACCAGGTCAAGAAGAGCGAAATTTTATATCAAGAAGTGTGAAATTTTATATCAGAAAAGGGCTGTTGATCTGGTTTCTCTGGCAAGCAGGCTCTGAGTAGAAATGAACGTGCGGGACATCTCTCTGGGCATGTCCTCAGGATAATACTCAAGTGAGGGGGGAGCTGGGCTGTGGTGCAATCTCAGCAGGGCCTCAGCAGAAACCCGGGGGCTCTAGAGTTGTCCCCCATCGCTCTGGGAGTGCTGAGTCTCTACACTTTCTCATTGACTAAGCATTGGGGGGCTTGACCTTGAACAAAGCAACCTTCTTGAGCTGAGGGCAGTTTTCAGAGAGGGTTGTCAGAGGACAGCCTCTGTTGAGGACAGAGCATGGTGGTGCATCACAGTCCGTCCACTACAGAGGACACGGATTCTGAAATTGTTGCAGAGCCGGACATAATAGCTTGCCTTAAGTTCCAAAGCCTGCCTTGCATTGTAGTTAGCTTGAGTAGTACAAATGGTCCAGAATTTCCAGTACCTACTGCCTTGTTATCCTTTGACCAGACTAGTTCTTATATTTATCTTGTTGGAAATGTTGGCTTGTAAAAGTTGGTGGTGGGGTTGGGTAGGAAAGCCTTCCTGTGTCTAAAGATCTATTCCTGTCAGCTCCTGAAGTGTCTGTGCCTGTGGCCTTGCTCATGGGTTATTCCAGGGTAACTTCTGTAGCTGCATGGGAAAAACTAGGGCTGGGAAACCTATGGCTGGTTGGTCACAGCTTTGTCCTTTCCTCTTCATGGAAATTCCTGTGTTTACAAGGGCTCAGAGCATGAAGCAGTGATCACAGCATGGAAATGTATCGGGAGAACTGAGCTATCACTTCTCTGGCCTCAAACTGCTCAACTGTAAAATGAGGAGGCCAAATGGAACGTGCTCCAAGGTCCAATGTACAACACTAACGTTCTACGATTTACTTCCTCCAGTGAAAAAAAACACAATCACAGCTCAGCTGGGTTGCAATTTCAGTTTCTGCACTCTGTGTCAAATTTGGACACAGTGGGGAAGTGGTCTGTGGGTCCCAGAGAACTTCTGTTCCACTGTATTTAAGAATAAACTGTAATTGACCTTTTAGGTGATAAGGCTCTCACTTTGGTTTTTTGTTTGTTTGTTTGTTTTTGAGAAGGAGTCTTGCTCTGTTGCCTAGGTTGGAGTGCAGTGGCACGATCTCGGCTCACTGTAACCTCTGCCTCCTGGGTTCAAGCGATTATCCCACCTCAGCCTCCAGAGTAGCTGGGATTACAGGTGTGGGCCACCACATCCGGCTAATTTTTGTATTTTTAGTAGAGATGGTTCCACCATGTTGCCCCAGCTGGTCTTGAACCTCTGACCGCAAGTGATCTGCCCGCCTCGGCCTCCCAAAGTGCTGGGATTACAGGTGTTAGCCACCTGGCCCAGCCATAAAGCTCTCACATTGAATGGCACCTACCATGTGCCAGTTCTGTTCCTAGTGCTTGCCATGGAGGTATATCAACACTATGCAATGTTGGCTATTGTTATCCTCATTTTACAGATGAGGAGCTAGACATAGAGAGACAGTCTCCACCCCAGTAGATAACCCAGGTTCTCACAGCTGATTAAGTGGCAGAGCTGGAATTTTCATTTTTTATTTTTCCCCTGAACCTGAGCCATTGTCCTGCCTCAACCTTCCAAGAATCTGGGACTACAAGCGCATGCCACTGTGCTGGGCTTTAAGAGCTGGGATTTGAACCCAGGCAGATGGGTTTTCCAACCCATGTTTTAAGCTCCTAGTCAACAGTTCCCATATTCTATGTTTATTTATCTATTTATTTAGATTTTGCTATAATCCAGAAAGAATTTAAGGCAGTTTATAAGGATATGTATAGCATGGAAAAATAATGGAACGGGAAAATGAAAGAGGAAAAAGCCGTCAGGCTGCAGTTGTCTATGTTTACCACGAGAGGACAGTATAACACCGGCAGCGCCAAGGCTGATGGCCCCCTGCTAACCTGTTAACACGTTCAAATGAAACTATAGAAATTATGGAAAAAGCAAGGTTACATTCAGTATTAATTGCAAAAGCAGCTTAAAGGACACTAA